TGAGACCAGCAACATGATCAGCATTTGTGAGTATTTCATGTATATTTGAGAAGACTATACATCCCTGCTTTTTTTCTATTATGTTCTTTCCATACTGCTTGTTCAGCACAGTCATCTGTAATTTTTCTCATTTATTCTTCGTGTTCTGATAGTAGGTAGTTACTTATTCTTCCCTTATTTGTCCTACCCTAGAGCATTTGAGTAAGTGCTCTTTCCCATCTTTGCATATTAAAATCCTTCCCTTCGTTCAAATCCTAATTAAAATTCTGACAAATATATCAAAAGCCCTCCTCTAATGTCTCTTTATACTTCTTCTCTGGCATCTCTTATGTAATCACTTAAGTTGTGGTGCGTCTTAGCCCTTCCAACTAGATTATAAACTGCTCATGCATACACCATAGTTTTTGTTTTTCTGTGTCTAGTTCAGTGGGAACCTAGTAGTTACTCAATAAATGTTTGTGTTGAATTTTTTAAGAAAAGAAATTACTATAATACTCAGATGCATAGAATCATAGGACCAAATATCTAGAGAGGTAAGGCCTTCAGAGGTCATCCGGTCCACCCCCACCCATTTAGAGACAAAATTAAATCCAGGTCTTCTGACTCCAAATCCAGTGCCCATTCAACTGTACTATGCCGTTGGCTAGCAGAATCTTCTGAAAGTTTTTACTTGGTGAGGTTGGGAGAGAATATCTCATCATACAACTTCTGGGTTATTTCTGCTTAGATTGCCTATTTTGGTCATGAACAAGATAGTATAAAAATAAGCCACCACTATAATGTATGGTCTACTTCCTAGATTACCACTAATGAGGAACGTCAAGGAAGGACAGGAGTAAAAGATGCCATGGGGGAAATATATGATGAGAAGAGAATACGGCTTGCTATGCAGTGAAGGTGAGGGATGAGAGGGCAAGTACTCCACTGATATCCTTGAAATATCAAGAGAAGGCAAAGAGAGCCCTCCAGCATGTTAGGTGAACTTATGGAGAATATGGGTAACAGTCATATAGGATGGGCAGTCATGGACAGGTTGTGATCTACATAGTTGAAGGGAACATGCAAATTGAATATTTGAGATAATTACGAGATAGATGATGTTGCTACCCAAGTGATCTCTAAAAACATAACATAATGGAACCAGTGACATAGATGTCAGTGACTCATTTAAGCAGATGGAATTTTCAGGGAATGGGATGAAATTGGGGGGTGGCAAGAGTTGCCTCAATGTGCTGTCAGAGCCAGATCCTGATGTTTAGATGTTAAGTCCATTGTGGAAAAAAGGGTCTAGTTTATAGGAGCTTGTTTATTCCTCTTCCTCTATTCCCATCCAATCCTCCCAGTTTACAGATAATGTGAGTTCTTTCCTGTGAACACAGGAGAATGATGGGGATAATAAGTGGGGGTCTCTAACAGTTTCTAAATTGACTTCTTTTCCAGAGTCCTGTTTTCTGGAGGAGCTATGTGGGTATGATGGATCTTCCCAAGAACTTGGCCATTTGGGAAAGAATAACTTATGTCAACCTCTACTGGTTAACTCCTATGCGTTCTAGGGGTCATAACTTCTTCCACTGGGAAATCATTCATTCAGTGGATTTTACTGAGTGCATAATATGTACAGGGCCCTGAGATAAATACAGAGAGAAGTGGGATGGTCCTTGTTATGTTAGAGCTTGCAATTTGGGAAAGGAAACTTGGCAATGACACAATAATATACAAATGAGAATGAGCCAACATGAGTGTAAAAAAGATAGCGAGGCTCTATGTTAGCCAGAACAGAGGACTTCTGCTGTCAGTCAGGAAGGTAGGTCAGAACCTTGACTTCTTCCCTTGGCTCCCCTTCTGGTTCAGTTTTACTTACATGTCACTTGGAAAGGATCTTGGAAGTGAAATGGGCTTTTAAGCCTCAAAATCCACCCACTTCTTGTGGTAGGTTTTTTCAGAGTTCCTGAAATGGGTTTGAGAACACAGGGATCCCATCAAGGACTGGAGTCGTAGGAAAATTTCTTACTTTACAGCAGATAATTGTCTTGGACCATCAGCTTCCAATCAGCACCAAATGTGGCAGAAATACTTAACCTTAGCCTAGCGGGCTTTTATCAGCTTCCCTTAGCTGTGTATTGATTGAAAATCTCTGCTAAGGACTATAGAGATATTAGTCTGTCCTTATCAGGGAGAGACTTTCTAATCACTACACATTAGTATCTATCCCCAAAGAACTGAAGCCCCAAAAAGACAGCAGAGATTACATTGGCAACCGTAAGAGCAGAGAATATGTCTAGTGGTGGTAAGTCAAGAAGATGCAACCAGAAGAGAGAGTGATGATCTCAAGGAATGAAGAGGTGTAAATTTCCCCGCGTTTCCCTGGTGTTTGATCGCTACGTATATTTCCTGGTCACATATGTTCCATATATATGTGTCCTGGGCCACTCATGGTTAGCATGGGAAAGCATATCCTATATCTATGTGGAAGGACTTTTTTACTTTTACTTTGTTATGTTTTATTATCTTTTGTTTTGACCTAATGTTTCCTCTGGTTGAAAGATAAATGTAAACATATCCATGAGGATATATAATGAGATATGGCTTTGAGTGACCCAGAGAGAATTGGGGGTCCACAAGAGGGAATTCTCCATGTGCTACATCAGAAGAGCTCGACATAGGGGAGTTATCACTATGAGAGTGAGAATGGGAGAAAATCACAGCATGTTCACAGAGAAGATGAAAGTTGTGCTAGCCCTTGGGGATTTTCCACAGGGAAAGGGGAAGGGAAAGAGTCTTCGGAAACAAGAACAGCATGAATAATGACACAGAGGTTGGACAGCACATGATGTTTTAAAGGGATCTCTCTGCGCTTCAATTTCTTCATCTATAAAGTAGGGACAACAAATGCCATATTTTTCATAATTAAAATTGTGTTGCCATCTAAGAAGAGGTAAAACCTCTTCTTAACCTAGAGGTAAAAAGAATGATCTCTTCCCCAAACTGGAGCTTAGAAGTTTAGGCCTATGGGGCAATCTTCATAAAATGTTCCCAGGGCAAGTAACATGACATTGCCCTCAAATTAAGGTCAATTCAATTGTGGATTGGGAGAGACCCTAGGATTCAGGGTCCCATAGCGGCAGAGTCTCCAGGAAGTACTCTGTAGCAAGAATAGGAGAAAGAGGCCTTAAAACCTCTACCTCTGTGGATAAAGATGTGGGTAATGAGGGTTGAAGGGTGAAAAAGCCATTTGATGACTTCCTTTTACTTGCTAATTAGGTGATAAATTCAATTGTTTCTACACCACTAAATGTGTGCAAAGTAACATCTAAATCTTAGCACTGTAGGGCAGAGCTCCAGTTGCCCAGCCTAGTTACAGCTCTACGTAAAAAACTCACAAGGCAAAAAAACACTTCACAAGTCTCATCTAAAAATTACCCCAGAGTTTTTCAGAGTGAGCCTAAAATTTCAACAACACAAAACTGAGTGCAGCAAGGAATGTGAAGGAGCTAGTCCACATCTCCCCAGCTGGATTATTAGTGTCTTAAGGACAACATAGCCATTTACATATGAAACAAAAAGGGAATGATAAAAGAACTATGAATTGTCAATGGCAGGACAGAACGATTTAGGTAAATTTGGGGGAGAGGAGAGCCTCCTGTATGTTGCTGAGAGTACCAGGCCTCACTCTGCTGTGGATCAGCCTGTACGCCTCTGGGTTTTCCACACTTCTAAGGTCATCGGGTCCTTTGGGCTGGGCCACGTTGAAGGTTAAGGAGTCTAAGTGCATTCAAAGACAACACAAGCAGATGTTTGCAAAAACACAGACATTTGAACTTTAATAAATTATAAAATTTAAAGGATCAACTCTGTATATACATGTTATTCTACTGAGAATGGGTATGGGTGGCAGTTACCTGTAAGCCGTGGGTACTGTAATCTCTTGTCCTGCAGGACAAGGATTCTGCCCAAATGGGCAAAGGCTGTGCATCATATGTGAGTAAATAATAAATGCATGACATAATTCAGTTCTGGACCCCCTGCTAGCCTTATTGGGGGAGCACCATTTGTACTGTATGTGCAAACTGTCTGAAATACTGATGCCAAGGTCAGATCCTGGAAACCTAGAGCTTGTCTAGGAGGAAGAGTGGAGTGAACACTCAGGTCATTAACTCAAAGAGGAGCACCAGTGAGAAGTGGAGCACCTGACAGGCTGAGGTAACTCCCTCAGCGCTGGCGCCAAAAGGATCCACGTAATGCCAAAGCACTTGTGGGATAACACAAGGGGCCTGACGGGGCCTAAGGTTCTCAGCTAGAGAGTGGGTCCACCCTTCAGGCCCCCTGCCCAACCAAGTACTCTTTCATTGCTTAGCACCAGGATCCTCCTGGATTTCTGGGGCCGAGGCCTGGGATCTTCAGCACTTGACGACAATTCTAAGACTTAATCATGGAAGAATTGGGATGTGAGCTCTTAGAGGGTTCCCCCCCAGCCTGCTGTGAGGGGTGGACAACAGTTATATACACCAGCCTTCCTGGGCCTCAGCACTGGCCCATCTCCTCCCAATTTCTAGCACTCTCCCATACCATCCTGCTGACACTGAGGCCTAGATCTGAAGCCAGAGTTCATCAGAGCTTCTTCACTTTCTTTTTAGACTTGCTGTAATGCTTACTTATTCAGTCTTGTCCATCACGAGGAGGCCATGTGCTCATCAAGAAGAGTAAAGACCTCCTAGAGACCAGGTCTCTAAGCCTCACTTAATAGGACCTTTCTCAATGCCCAGTGCTTTGGGATGCCATTTGTGAAATGGAACTGCAACCACGTGGCTTTCCCATCTATGGGAACACTTATTGATGGTATGTCCTATGGGTAACACAACTAGATTAGACCCTTTATAGGGTCATCCAATTAGGTCATTTCAGCTGTTATGCCCTCCCACAATGGACAAAGATCCCAGATGAGGTGGCAGTGAAGGGCCTAAAATTTATACCCCTTGTTTTCTGATTTTACAAATACCTTCTTTTTTTTTTTTGGCAACCAAAATAAATGGCACTGAGATGGGGAACTTACTTTTGGAGATGTTTTGAGTTGAAGACTATAAATATTGCTTTTAAAATAGAAAAATGCAATAGAAAATGCTTCCCAATGTATCGCTAGTATTCTTTTTTTAAAAAGAAATCCTTCCTTTTACCCTAAATAGTAATTTTCCTGGTTCTTAAACACTATTAGGCTTCTAATATGTCAGCAAGATTCCTAGATTTCCTATCCCATTGATATGACTCTCTTACCAACAAATACACTTTCCCTCATTTAAAAAGACATAGTCTCTACTTTCTCTGATCTCATAAAATGGGCAGGCTATCCTCCTGGCACCCCTGGATGTGAGCAGCGTTGCTCACACTGGGTAACACATGCAATGCCAAAGGTCTCAATTCAGGGAGAGATGCTAGGGAAAGAGCCTACCAGTGTTTTCCCTAATGGAAAAGTCCAGCATTGATCCAGCTGCCCATTTTGTTTATAGCATTCTCTAAGTTTACGCATTGTTCCTCAGAATAGACCCTAAATGGTCATCTGGGTGCACTTGGCCTCAGGTAGTCACTTAACCTCTCTCCCTGAGACCTCTGGGAGAAAGAGTGCTAGAAATGGAGTGGGAGTATCTGGGTTTGAATCCTGACTCTGCTGATGTGACTTTGAACAAACCACTTCCTGCTTCTGGGTCTCACTTTCCCAATGAGTAAAATGGAAAGAATAAGAATTGTACTATCTACTTCTCAAAGAGAGAGCGAGGATGAAATGAGAATATAAAGAGCAACGTAAATGGATGATTACTGACTCATCAGTAAAGTAGGTTTCATACTATGACCTGCCAGAAGGCAAGGGCCAGGTCCAATCTTGTGAGGTTTCTTGAAAATTTGAGTTTCTTTGTTTTCCCTCTGATAGACAACACAGGAAGAGGTCAGTGACCAGAGACACCTCTTTCTGCTGTGCAGCACTGCCCAAGTACTAAGAGTCTTTGATTTCTTTTTTCCCAAAGCAGGAAGATGGGCAGTTAGAAGTAGTCACTAGACACAGCTTAGACTGAAGGAAACTTACTAGGCTTCAACTGGTGGTATTCCTGGATGAAGAGAAGGAGCAGACCCAGTGATTCTTCCTGAAACCCCAGGCCCTGTCCCTCATTTTCTTAGAAGTGACTGTTAGAATGTATAGAGCTGAGTTCATTTGAAGATACTCATTGTCCAGCAAGAAAACAATTCTGTAGGTTTTGGGAGGGAATTAAGCTTCATTTAAAAAATAATTTCAATGCAATAAAAATTGGAGCTTTCAAAGGATCCCTCCATCCCTAAGGGCCATGGCAACTAACAACTACATGAGCAGGCCTGAAAACAGCTTTACAGAAGTGAGCTCTGTTAGGACACACTAAAGACAAAGGAAAAGAGCCTTGTTCCCAATGATCCCAAATTGTGTTATCCAGAATCTGGAGCAGGACAGAATCAATGCAATGGTCCACTGTTAACTCTTCATCACATGACAAAAAGCAAGAATAACTATGGCCTCTCTCCAGGAGGGGGCATATTCTATGACTATTTTTCCCTCTGTTTAAACAATAAACTCTTTTAGCATTAATGCCAAGAAATTCTTCCACTTTTTCTTTTCACTCTAAACATTTCAACCTCTTCTCCCCAGAGCTTTGCCACCCACTTATCCAGTTAAGGAAATAAGTGTCTCAGTTAATCTGTAAGTGTTGGGGCAAACTTGGGGTCTTCCCTTCCAGGGATCTGGCTCCCAGAGCTACCGTTATATGGAATGTTGAAAGTAAGATGGAGGCAGCTGTCAGAGTGCCTTGAACTATGCCCCCATTAGGGTACCTGAAGGTGGGGGAAAGGACCAAAGAAAAAGTCTGTCATCAGGGGCCACCTTGGGCAGACATGGATCACATAATCAGGATAAATGACCCAGCCTCCCCTGAGCAAAAAGGTGGGCATGAGAAGGATGCCCTTGTTTGAAAGGGCAGTTCCTGACCCCCACCACTGATGGAAGACAAAGGTCTCGGCACATATTTTTTCTGTTGATAAAGCACCATTGATTTGTAAACTGGATGTATCTAGTCATACTCCCCAACAAGGGATCTAGAAAAAGACAAAATAAGAGAATTACCAAACTTACTCTTCCTTCCCCTTTGCCATAAAAGCTGGAATGCATAACTTTGGGGGAGGCTGGGGCAAATAGCTACTCTATGGATATTTATGGACCATTAAAGCTAATGGAGGAGACCTAGATGGGTTCTTATTTAGGAGTGGAGACCAGAATTGGGGTGGTTCTCATACCATCCTCATCTTTGAACAGTCTCTGTGCACACCCTAACAAAGGAAGCTGGGATACATTGGTCTCCAGTAAAATCACATCTTGTAGGACTCTGAGTCTTGGCTAGCAAAATACAGTATCTCCATTTGCCTTTGTCTTAGTGTTCCAGAGGGTTAACCCCAAATAGCAGAAGAGAATGTAGTGAATAGGGGATATTCTGTATTGAAATGGCAGTGAGGAAACCAGCATGTTAGTCCTGGCTTTGCCACTAGCTAGCTGAGTGACCTCCGGCAAGTCCCTTCCACTATGGCCCTGTTTCCTCAGGTGTAAAGCCATGTGATCAAATGACCTTTAAGCTCTTGATCTCTACTCTAACATTCTATGACATCCTATTCGAACCCTTCTGTACACACTCTCTTCCCTGCCTATCCCAAAGACCCCCAGTCTAGTGCTGTTTAGTATGGGTATCCATTGGAACTTTCACCAAGATTTATTTTTTTCTACTTGGGCTTCTGCCCTGCCGTCAGCAGTTCACAAAGGGTACCACTGCCCTGGTCCTCTGAGGCTTAGTGGAGAGATCTTACCCTGGAATAGCAGGTAAAGGGTTTTTATACTTCTCCCTTTGCTGGCTCTGTTAGGGCTGGATGACAAGGGGTCATCACTGTAGGGAGGTTGGTAAGGAAACTGCCATGGGGAAGGGACAATTCTTTTCTCCATCAATCTATGAACCCGTGTGTGTGTGTGTGTGTGTGTGTGTGTGTTTAAAAAACAAATTGCCACTTGCTGATTAGAGATGGTATTGGTTTGGAGTTAGTGAACCTAGCTTTGAATCTTGTCTTTGCTACTTCCAAGTTATGTGGCCTTGGATAAGTTACTCATCTTCTCTGATCTTCAGTTTTATCATCTATACATTGTACGGGATGGAACAGATAATCTCTAGGACCCCTTCCATCTCTAAATATAGGGACCCAGTGATCCATCATTGCCTCTCAAATGTGTCTACACCTCTCCCAAGATGAAACCCAAATGGAAAGAAAATTTGGTGAGGCATTTCAGGGGCTGCCTAATCCCGAGATCAAGAACTAAGGGAATGCTATTGGGCCTAGGGGCAGCTCTGTTCTCTCTGTAGTGGAATTTTTACAGCCTGGGATTCTTTCCAAGAACCCCTCTAACTCAGCTCTATTTTCTCTTGATTTTCTTTCCATTCTGTTAAAGGCTGGTGAATGTCATGTTTAAACAGCAGCCTCCCAAGGGTATCCCCAGGCTCTGTGTGCTTTGCTAGACCCATACGAATGTCAGATAACTAACTGGGAGGTTTCTCTGACTGCATTCCCCACGATCATGGAAACCAACCTGGCCATTGCACCTCTGCCACCATCTCTCTCTTTTTCAGTCTTTTAGAATTGGGCACTTTTGCCATAGCACCACTCCCCCTCATTTCTAGGATGGGCATTATTACTATGCTGCCAGTTACATCTCTCCAAGAGGAAAAAATATGCTACCGACGGCATCTTTCTGATTTATTAGAACCTCCCGAGCATCTCTCTCTTCCATTTCTCAGCAATGAGCTCTTGGATCCTCTGGTTCTTGGTCTTCTCATACGGGGTCCTTCGATGGGGGATGAGATTGGGCTGCTGGACGTCCTCATCTGGGCCTTGAACCTCATAGGGCGCGTCCACAGCATTGATGTCCGGAAGTTCCTCCTCCGTGATATTGGAACCCGAGGCACTAGTGGGAGTCCCTGGGGGGCGTGCCAGAGACGGATGTACCGCTGGAGGTGTTGGGAGCGTTGGGAGCAGCGCCTCAATGTCGTTGTTTCTTCCAGGGGTTGGCTCGGTCCCGTTGTCCACTGTGATGTTATTGTAGAGGTTACAGGACTTACAACACAGTTGGTTATAGCCTGGGATGGAGCAGTATCGAGACAGGACTTCCAAACGGCAGAACATTGACTTGTCCCCTTGACAGTGTTCTTCTGAAAGAGAAAAGCAGGACAGATGACCAGACCAGGAAAATGACATGTGTGTATTGCTGACTAAATATCTAGGCCTCAGGCCATACCTTATATTGTTAACAGAATGGTAGAATGATAGTTGAAATGCACTTAGCCACACAGTGCCTGAGGAAGTATCCCCAGAATACTGAATGTTAGCAATTTGAGAGTCCTTAAACAGGGTTTACTAACTTGGGGTCTGTAAACCTGTTTTCTGAAAAACATTTTAATAACTATATTTCAATTTAACTAATTTCCTTTGTAATCCTATGTTGGTTTTTTTTTGAGGCACTTGGGGTTAAATGACTTTCCCAAGGTCACACAGCTAGTAAGTGTCTGAGGCCAAATTCAAACTCAGGTCTTCCTGACTTCAGGGACAGCGCCCTATCCACAGTACCATCTAGCTACCCCAATCCTATGCTTTTTTGAATACACTTTAAAAAAATGATTATGAGAATGGAACCTTAGGCTTCCCCAGGCTTGCAAAAGAGTCTATGACACAAAAGAGGTGTAGAACTCTTGCCCTAAAATGACCATCCTTATGGCCTTCCTCAATGGCTGGATATGAGAGGTGAGTGAGAAACAGCCCTAGTCTCAGAGTCTGAAGACCTGAGTCTGATCTCAGATCTCATACTTTTTAGGTGTTTAATCCAGAGCAAGTCACTTTCCTCACCTGCCAAATGGGGATGGTAATACCAAGATTACTGTGAGGAGAGTGCTGTGTAAAATTTGAAGTGCTATAGAAAACTGAAGTGGTGGCTTGTTTTCTGAAAAGATTGTCTTGGCTGCCCCAGACTTGCAGCAATGGAGCACGATGCCTGATAACCTGGCAGGGACTCTTCCACCCAAGGGCTGTCTGTGATGTGGCAAAAGTAGGCAGTGAATGGAACACTGTGTACTTGTGAAGATTCAGAATACTTATTCATGCTCAGCCATGTTGACTCAACCCTGAACTTTGGTTTTCCTTCTCCACAGGGTTCTGCTTGGTATCCTACGCATCTCCCCTCATTTGTATACCTCAGGACTAGTTTCTCTACTAAGAAAAGTCATTCCTGTCTTGAGAAGTCAATGTAGCATAAGAATAGGGTGAGTAGTCCTGGTGTTTTAAGATCTGGCTTTTGAACTTGGTGTGACTAGGTCTCTAGATGTGACCTTGGATCATTTCCCACTTCTGAGGATCAGTTTACTTGCTGGAAAATGGCTCCTGGCAAAACTACTGTCCCCTCCCATGCTTTATTTTAGGCTCCTTTGGAGGCTAGCATAAGACAATATTGCCAGTGGTTGGGTAGATGAGTAGGGCAATCTCTGTCTAGAGGAAATCTCATCTATTGGAGGATGCTCACTGAGCATTTGAGAGAATAGACAGGGTTTCATGTTCAACAAGGCCTTTAGGCATATCATGCTTGGAGCTATGAGAGTCACTGTCATTGTCCTTAGGGTTACTATTCTTCAATACTCACTAGCCAAAAGAACAAGTGACTTAGCAGTCCCAGGCTGCAAATTGCTTCTGAAGTCAGGTCTTTATTACGTAAGCAGCAGACTCAAAATAGTAATTCACTCCTGAGTCATTTATGCTTGTTCTGGGAATGAATCACATTCAATGGGAAGAGACTTACCAGCGAGGTCAGAGCCCAACCTCTGATCCAATGTGGATCTAGCCTCTACTTGGAGACCCCCACTGATGGTTGAACTCATCGCCATGTAAGTAGCCTCTTGGGCTTTTGGGCTGCTGTAGTCTATTCCACGTAGCCTTTACTAGCTGGTCCCAATTCTTTTCATGGAGCTCCTCAGAGAAGGGGTAACCCTCTGATGCTTCCCAGCTCTTTAAAGACTTGGGTTGACCCTTATGTCTCTATTCCTGGTGTCTGATCTCCTCTTACTTTTGCTTCCTTAAATTGTTTCTAATTTTACTCAACAACACTTAAGCTCCTACCATATATGAGGCTCAAGAGTTCCAAATATGAGTTCAGATATGAATATAACCCCTGATCTCAATATAACATGTTTTCAATTCTTGGCTCTTCTGTTTTGGACATCTTCTTCCAGACTCTTTCCAACCTGTCAACACCCTTCCTAGGCTAGTAGCCAGAACTAGTCACGCTATTCCAATTTTGGTCTTACAAGTACAGAACAGACAGTACTACCACCTTCTCTAATCTATACACTGTCTGTCTTTTAACACAGCCTTCCTGACATCTTTTGCTCCCTTGGTTTCTTTGCCTTTAGGAAGGCAGCACACAAAAGTGGATAGAGTGCTAGACCAGGAAGACCCAGGTTCAAATCCCAGCTCAGGCACTTATTAACTACATGACCCTGGGAAAGTCACTCAGTCTTCTGTGCTTCATTTTCCTCATCTGCAAAATGAGGGGACTGGACACTTTTCCAAGCATAAAATTATGGTCACATAGCATCATTATGTCCCGTTTCCTCCTGCCACTCTTCCTGCTCATTCTGGATCTCATTCACTATGTCTCTTTTTCCTCCTGCATCCTAAGTGTGCCCTTTGCCCTTAGGCTCTCTTTCTCTTTTGCCATCTCAGTGACTCTCATAGCTCCAGTTTCCAATTCTACATAGATTACTCCTAAATCTATATGGGATCATAGTGGAAGGACCTAAGAAATCATCTACTTTGACCCTCTCAATTTGCAGTAAAAGAAATGAGGGTTCTCCAAAGGGTTCTCTACCTGACTTATTTGGGTAAGGTCACCCTGGAAGTGGCAGAGTCAGGACCAAGACCAAAAATAAAGTCACCTCTGATGACTCCATACTAGCGTTCTTTGCCCCTTACCTAGTCCCTGTCTAGCACCAATCTCTCCCGATGGCTTATCAGACATCATCACTCAGCTCTTCCGAGAGGACCTCACCTTCGCATTCCTCTCAAGTTGCATTCAATTTTAGAGTCTCATTTTACATGGAACTTTGATTCTCCTTTCCTTGGACACTTTGAAATCTGGTTTTGGTCTAGGGTGCAATCTGATTATATCCAGTGTCTGCCTCCTTAGTATTCCCTTGCTCCAGATCAACCAGATCATGGGCGCTTACTTAGTATCAGAGAATCATAAATTTGGAGCTGGAAGGATCCGAGGTTATCAAATCCAACCCTCTTATTTTACCGATAGGGAAAGAAAGGCCAAAAGAGGTTAAGTGACTTGCCCAGGGCCATGAAATCATCTTGGTCTGCAACTGAGGTGACTGGTTTTCCTGACTACAAGTTCAACATCCTATCTAGTACATCACGACGCTTTTTTTTTTTTTACTTTCTCATAGATTGAGTCTTCTCACACTGAGTTGGACTCATCCAAAGCTCAGGTAAGATACAGCAATTTTAGCCCAATATTGAAAGCGGACCACCATATATTTGAAGGCAATAATCTTCCTATAGAAAACTGATGATTGACTGTTTGCCTCAAGAACCAGATATAAGGGGACCCTGAAGTTACCTATACAGTACCAAGAGAACGAATACTCAACTTAATGCCAGGAAACCTGAGTTATAGTTTTTATTCTTTCACCAACTAGACTTTGACTTTGGGCAAGTCACTTCCAATCTCTGATCCTCAGTTTCCTCTTCTGAATAAAAGGAGGTGGTTTGGATGAACTGACCTCTGTCTGCACTCCTACCACACTCTAACATCCCATGAATTAACCTCCCATCATCACCCGACCCTTTCTTGGAAGGACTCAAGCTTGAGTCTTCTGGGCTGCCATTTGCTATTCTGTACTCCTTGCCCAGAATACAAGGCTCATGCTCACATGGGCCAGGATGAGAATCTACCCTTGCCACAGTACCACTCTTTCTAGGGATGACAGGCTTTCCAGACTGTGATTTTTTTGCCAGTTCCAGCCATTCTGGGGGGTCATGACTCTCCCCCTAAGTGCTCACCCTTTTGCATCACTAGACAAGCCAGGGTATATTCCTAAACCCAGGAGATACATCGATAACCCCAAGAAATTCAGAAAAATATTGTCCGTAAGTTTGACACATCAACCAATAGAAGGATAGAGAGCAGGAGAGAAGCACAGACTAGCAAAAGAGCATTTCAGTGGAAAAGGTACCAGGGCTTTGGAGGGGACCGGGCACGCTCCTGACTCTGATAGGTAGGAAAGCAGAACTCCCTCCAAACCTACTTTCTTTCTCACCTGCAAACTCCCCACAATGGTAGCTTTTGTTCATCACTGCAGGTGAGTTTACACTTATTCTGCTTTTTTACTGCCCTATGTTTGCTGAAGCGTCTCTCGGCTGCTGCATTTGATTGAGAACACAAAATTGGAAATCTGGCCTCAGTAGGGATAGGTCAGTGACAACTCAGCCTCTTTTTGAAGCTTGGGTTACATAAAACCAGTGTGATCACAGCCAACCATATAGGTCATATTGGGAGTAGGAAGAGAATAGCATAAGGGTGCTTCCCAGGGCCCAGAGTTACACCCTCAATCTCCATCTCCATCATGGATAGGGAAAACATTAAGGTCTGACTGCTTAACACAGAGCAGCCTAATGCTCCTGTCAAGCCCATTAGGTAATGGGGCCTTCTTCATCATAAGCTTTTGAGAAAAGTATCTTTAGTAAAGCCTTATTACTTCCTGGCCCAAGGTATTTATTAAGGGGTTACTGAATGTGAATGTTATTTGATAAAATGCAAAATATCACTCTTCAATTGTCTCCATACCTGTGCCATCTCCACATAATGACTCTGAAAAATTGTCCCATGTAAAATTCAAAGTGGCTCCTGGAGGCTCTTCTCAACCCAGGTGTCCATTCTGCCAAGCTCTTACTTTAACTGGCAGAACATAGATGACTCTACGTCTTCAAATCATGAGTTGGGGAAGGCACTATATTTTTATAGTTTCTGTAGGACAGTGCATGTAAAGTGCTTTGCAAATCTTAATATACTATATAAATGCTATAATAATAATAATAGTAATAATAACAATTATTATTATTACAGGCTAATTTGGCCTCAGACAAAAGACCTGGGAAGCAAACTGAAACAGCACATCTTTAATAGTCTGTTAAATACATACAAAACACTAATAAAATATCCCTGATAAACCAAAGTGCATATTGACGTGGTGCACGATGCCTGGATACCTTATTGCGCCACTCTCGACAGCCACCCATATCTCAAAACGTCACTAAACAGTTAGTTGTCTATTGAAAGTTTGAAAGTTAACAGTCGTGAACATAGTTATACAGTTTAACACCGATTATTTTACATAACAGTATTCAGTGCCAGCTATGTGTCTTTGCTTTGCGGTCGTGTTGATGAAATATTAACAGCTTTTGGGGAAAACAACAACAACAACATTTGTCTAGACCGCCAGCATTCAAAGATGGAACTGCATGGTGGGTAATGACACATCTGAAGCGCTACATTGCCGCAGAGCTAGAGATTCGAGTCTGTCACCTGACAGACTTAGTCTGTCCCGCTTAGGGGCATGGGACGGCCCCGAACTTAGAGCCTATGGATGACTTGGTAGATAGAGAGATGCAGCTGGAATACGTGCATTCCAAAACTAAGATGTCTTCTGAAATGCTCTCTAAAGGACTAACTCCTCTTCCTTGGCACAGAAATGTCATGGGAAGTAATGAGGCCATTAGAGTTTGGAGGAAACAAAAGAAAAAGGACTCTTTCTCCTTTGGGAACTGTGCAAATTCCCCTAAGAACGTTCCTGACTTCTCGTCTATGCCAGTTTGAGTCAGCTCCTGGCAGACAAGCCTGTGATATACCAGGGTGATGTTTGCTTTTGAAGCCAGGCTTATTGATCAGTGCTACTACCTTTCACCTTTAAGGCATTTTTCTAAATGTTTCTCCTAAGCAAAACAGCCGTAACAATTGAGGTAATTCTGTAGTGGTTTCCGCAGTCCCATTGGCCACTTGACATATCTACATGAAATAGTCTCTGACTGTCTGCTGGTCAGTCTCTCACTCACACAGGCATGCTGCTCAGCGTCAAAACATGGGCAGGTTAGCAAAAGCAACCTGGGAGGTTGATGAATGAAAACCCAGAATAACAGGGTCTCTCTGGACACTACACCCACCTTTTAGAACAGATCACTTCCAGGGCAGGGGAGGGCACAGCTATGGTGGCAAGAGTTCTGCCACATGCAGAAAAGCCCAGACTTTGTGGTGAGACACAAAACCCTTTATGAAAATGGGGCCCCACGGAACACAGCAAAAGAGAGCAGCAGCAGCAGCAGCAGCAAAAGCAGCAGCAGCAGCAGCAGCAATGAGTGGAGCTTTTAAACATTCCCACAGGATGGAAACACGAGGAGACTGCATTGTTTTGAGCATTGCACAGGAACAAACACAAAATGAAAGGCAGAGAAAAAGAACAGAGCCGGGTGCCCTGTCGGGAGCACAGCACGTGAGGGAGGTGGGGTAGGGATGGGAAGGAAGTCTCTCATTCATCTGTCTACCCTGTTGGAAGAAAAGCAGGCTGAGCGGAGGAGATGTTGGACAGAGGAAGAGGAAGCGAAAGAAACTTGGCACTCCAAGGTCTGTCGTCATGGGGATGTGATCATGTTCATGACCGGTCTCGGTCTTGGCCCCAAACTGCACATCTTGGACCAGGGAGTTGCTTTTCACCTATGCCCGAGAGCCCCAGGCTGATGGCTCTTGGCACTATCCCGGAGGCCTGGGCCTCACAGCAGAAATTCTCCTTCCCACGTCCACAGGCCGGGGACATCATCCGCCTCCAGGGCAACACGGGCTCTGAATCAGAGAGAGGCCAGGCATTGAGGAGGCCCCTGGGAAGAAAGAAAGATTCAGCCCCAGAGAGGACTCAGGGAGAGTCAGGGGAACTTTCCATAGAGAGAGAGGAAAAGAGCCAAAGGCAAGATCCGCAGTGGCCCGGGCATGCAGGAAAGGCCGAAGGCAGAGTTATAAACGGGTCTTTTACTTGACGAGATTTTCTGGATTGGATAGTCAGGGTCTGGACGTGACAGCCACTGGATGAGGTAACTCTTCTTGGAAGGATCAGAGATGTTTCCTAAGAGAAAGAGAACAGAGATGTTTGAGCCAACAAGAGGTGGCCTGGGGGTTCTCAGCTCAGACTTCAGACACAGAGGTGGCTTTGAAACTTCTCTAAGTTTCAAAACCCTCTGGAGGAGGCTGAGGTATTAGGGCCCAGGAACAGGAAGGGAGAGGAGGTCAGGCCATCAGAGAAAGGGTGAGGGTCAGTCATTATCCTAGTTAGGATCCACCTGGAAAAGCTTACCAGGATTTAGGCCGGAGGACTGTCATCATGAGCCTTTGAAACTTCCCCACACTCAGTGCCTTATGATGAAAGACTGAATGATGGAAACCCTCTTGGGTCAAATTCATAAGCAATTGTCATCAAGACCCCATAATATAATCACTACAAAAGATATGGACTAGGTTGGACATAGAGAAACATTCAGATGGACAGGTCTCCAGCTTAGAGATGTTCAGCCCTGGGTAACACTCTCTCGGTCTGGACATCCCTATAGGAGAGGTTGGCTCTTGGGTCCAGGGCTTTAAAACATTCTGGGATCGAATGGGACACTCCCATGGGGATTGTTTTAACAGCTCAGCCTGGACCTCAGCTCTTCCTCCCTGACTTTTTTTTTTTTGCCCAAGAGACAACATTCCAGGTATCATGAAGGGGTCAGGGCAAGGGCACCTGAGATGAAGGCAAGATGCAATCACATGTGGCACTTACTGCTTAGAAGAAGCTGAATTTCACCACCTTTTTCGGGGGATGCTTAAAACTTATTTAGAGACATATAGGTGCATAGGCTCATAGATTTAGAACTGGAAATGACTTTACAGGCCATCGTCTCCTCAGTTCACAGATGAGGAAACTGAGGCTGGGAGAGGTTAAATGTTTGTTCAGGGTCACACAGTAAGCATCTGAGACAGGATTTGAACTTGTGTCTTCCTGACTTCAAATCCAGTGAGCTATCCCTTCATCCGTACTTCCTCTCTAGACGATCCCCTCTGATCCTACATGTCAACCTGGCCAATTCTGGAGAAGACTTACGGGGGCATATGGAGAGCCTGCACGTCCTGGCTGTCTCAGGCCGCTCCTCCCGACAGGAGCCAATGGTACCGTCCTGGGTCCGGCACAGGACCTGTCGTTCCTGAGTGCCATTGCCACAGCTCACTGAACACTGGAAGAAAGGCGTATCGTTGGTGCTTCCCACACATGAGGCTGTCTGAAACCTGCTCCGTAGATACCTTGTGTGTATCTAGTTATTTACATGTTATGTCTCCACTCCCTTACTGCCCGCCCCAATCTCTGCCTTAAAATGTAGTGGGGACTGTTTCTGCTTTTTCCAATGCCTGGCATCTCGTAAGTACTTAATATATACTTGTGACTGACTGGCAGCTCGTAGATCAGTCTGTACATGTGCCCAAGTACTGGCATTGGAAGAGGAAAACCAGCTTCCCCACTGGACATGAAGCTTGGGGAGACCACCCACCATCCACATACCTTTTCCAGAAATACTAGCAGGGCTACTAAATCTTGAAATAGAGCTCTGGAAAATCAGACGTTGATAAAGCCCATTGGGAAGCAAAAAGAGCTACTTGACTATATCTTAAATCCAAATCACTCTGGCTCTCCCTGATTGGCCAACAATAGGTCCCAGCCCAAGCCTCACTTGGTCACTGTTTGGATTTTGATGGCTCAGAGTGAGTGTAAATAGCAATTGTTTCTATTCTGGCCAGAAAAACCCTGAGGGTCTTCCCCTCTCGGATTTATGTATTTATTATTTTTTTTGAGTAGGCAAACTAGGCCATCGTTTGCCTCATTTCTTCCTTAGCCTTCAATCCCCGAATCACTGAATGGGTGTTGTCTCAGAAAAGCTGAGACCTGGAAAAGACCTTAGCTTAAAAAGGCCAAAGTCTCCCACTGCATCTGGGGCTATTGCTAGTTGTCCTGACTTATGTCTCGCCACTGGACTTAAATGACTCTGGAGGAGAGAGTGAGGCTGATGACTGCACAGCTCTGCCTCCCTTCAATCCAATTCACTTGCAAGTCAAGACATCACCCTCCTGATATCATTGGTCCTCTTTGAGAAGGAAGGAAGAACGACAAGGCTACTAAATCCACACTCATTGTACTCTGTGGCTACAAAATGCTTCACACAAGTGATCAGAGGTGGTCCCAGATAGACAGCTCATTCTTGCTCCCATTTTAAGCTAAGATGCACGAGTTTTACAAAGCCAGGTATCCAGACATCCATACAATCACTGAGTCTCTCTAGGTAGTCACAGCCACAGATTCTCAGAGATGAAGCAGGCCTTGCAGATCAGCTGCTCCTACACCACCTTGTTTGACAGAGGAGGAAACTGAGGTACAATTACTGATAGTTGTAGATCTCAGGTCTCCCAAATCCCACTGAATGGCATGTCTGTTTATGGAACAGAGATCGAGTCTGTTCTTATTTTTGTAGCTCTCCAGGGTTTCCTTGCCTGGCTTCCCATTCCTCAACCCATATAGAGCGGTGGTTCCAGTGGCACTCAATCACACAGGCAAGTGAGCAGAACCCAGCCCTGTCAGGGTTCACATTTCCTCCCTGAGAGGAGGGAGGGCCACTTAGAATCAGCCAGGAAGAAGCGGAGACCTCAAAGAGGAATGAATAGCACATTCCTAAGAGGACTATTTTGAGCCTCAATCTATGCTCAATCTCCATGAATTTAATCTGTACGACCAACTTTTGCATGAGATCTGCCTACCTTGACAGATCCCGTGGTCTATAGAGTACTCTCCATTGGTTGAAACAGACAAAGCAATGTTGGAGGAGGAGCCTGGCTCTAACTCATACCTAAACAAGAATCATTTCTACATCATACCTGATGAGTGGTCATCCACCGTTTGCTTGCAGACCTCCTGTGAGAGGGAAGCCACTCATTACCTCCCAAGGCAGCCTTTTCCAGTTAGGGATAGTTCTAATTGGATGGAAGTTTTCCCTGACATAAAGCCTCAATTTGCCTCTCTATATCCCATTGCCTCTATGTCTGCCTTCTGGGGCCATATGGAACATCCCCAGCCTCTCTTCCACATAGCTCTTTAGAAGACAGCTCTCATTCATCCCCTTCTCTCCCTTCTTTTAGGTCTTGTTCCTTATCTGGGGCCTATTTATGTCATCAGAATCCCCATGTTCAAATTGGAATCTTCTCCGGTCTCCAACTGGATGATTTCTGCTGTGTCCAACAGAATCTGCTCTCTTGGCCCCAGAGAGGCCTTTATTCTTAGCCTCACTTCTCTGCCTCTCGTCCCATCAGGGCTGCTCTCTCCTTTTCTCAAAGCTCTCCAGACCGTCACTCCCACCCCTAATTTCTTCTCAACTTGGCATTCCTAACAGAGACCCACTTATGATTCCAGTTGCCCCTCTTGGGGCCAGAGCTCACCACTGAATAGTCATTCATACTACAGTGAAGGAACTGGTCCATCCCCTCAGTGTCTGTACTGCACTGCTTTAGCCTCTAGGGTTATCTTGGTGTCTATCAAGACCTGGTAATTGCAACATCCCCATCCGCTTTAGTGTCTGAATTCAGTGACTACCTGTAAGGCCCTTTTCACCTTGGTGGGTATGGTTCAGATACTGGCTCTGATAGTGTATACTGTGACTTTTCCGCCGGTAAGCCACTGAGGTGCAGCAATGACTTCTGGAGCCTGGGCCTCTTCTCTAGGATGGATGGGGAAGGTGAAGCTTACCTGGGACCAGGGCCCGATTCTCCACTCTCCAGGGCAGAGGTCCCGGTTACAAGCCCGCCTGCCCTCTGGTCGGGCCTCGTTGCAGTGTTTGGTGTGGACAGAGCGATTGGTGTTGTCGTGCAGGGGTTGGACACAGCGGACCGAGCGGATCTGGTAACCGGTTTTTCCACAGCTTTTGCTGCATGGCTCCCATTCTCCGGTGACCCACCTAACGAGGCCAGAAACAAAAAAGGTAAGCCCTCTAGTACTATCAGGCCTGGGCCTCCTTGGAGCCTACCTCACCTTGCCATCCCTCTCCTGATTCCCAGCTTTGTGGGATAGGATAAGGTTCTGGGAGTGATATGGGTAGAGAACAAGGAAAGAAGAAAGGGCTGGATCCATACCAGGCAATGGCTGACGTGACACTCCTGTGAGGCCAGAGAGGAGCCATTGGGGGATCAAGAGTATTTGACGCAGATTTGGATTGGGCACTTTTGGTGGGTGAGAAGGAATAGATCATGGCTGGGTAACAACTGAGCATACAGCTTGGCTCAGTGTGCATTTACTCAGTAGGACTCAGGGCCTGCCTAGGTAATCAGAGGGCATGAGAAGGGAACTTATCGAGACCAACCAATATGAACAGTAGGGAAGAGGGCACAGATTGTTTTGCCTGGTCCAGGATCATTAATGTCCTGTGCACTCCTGCCTCCCACCCAAGGCCTTGAAAGCCCTCAGTCATTGCCCAAACCCTCTCTAGTGGCCTATATGGCCAGGCCTCCCTGCCCCCCAACCTGATATCCTATATATCCCTGTCACTTTGTCCCCACCCCAATACTGCATGAACCCCATTCTTGTATTTTACTCTTCGTCCCTATAGATTTCTATTTTCTTCCCTGACACCATATGTGTACCTTGGCTTCTACCCCAATTCCTACTTGGTCCACTACTGCCCCCTTGCCTCTCCCCCAGATACTGCATATCCTTAGCGCTTGCCTCAATGTCCTGAATGATCCTACTTTCCATAGCCTCACCTCTCTGACCTGATGCCCTGTATATCCCTTCATGGCTCCCATTCTTTCTTAGGCCCTGGATGCCAAGAGCAGTGGTGGGGAGTCAGAACAAGAAAAAGTCAAGTCCCACTGGGAGAAATCCACCGATACAGACAAGGGTGAGTCCTATGACCCAATCTACCTCTATGTAATTGGGCTTTTTCCATTCTGTACTTGGAAGTGAGGGAAATGCCATGAAACCATTCACTCTCTAGTACGAGGGGAGGCAAAAAACCAGATTTTTCAAGCCCAGGCCTGATTTCACACGTCTAGTGATGGGATGGAATTATCAGCAGTGGGCTATTTATAGCGTAGGCTTATTTAGTTAGATACCATTGAGCAGGCGTTAGTGTAGAAATACTGTGTTTTGGTAGAAGTCATTCTAAGGGAGACAGCATTGTATAGCGTAAAGAACACGATGTCAGGAGTCAGAGAACACTCAGTTTGCCTAGAGCTTAGATCTGAACCTGAGTTCTAAGGTCACTTCTATGTTCTCAGGTGATTTCCAGGTCTGAAGGTTCATGTTCGGAGGTGTCCTTCAGCTCTAACATTCTATTTCTCTCTCTCTCTCTCTCCTCTCTCTCTCTCTCTCTCTCTCTCTCTCTCTCTCTCTCTCAATCAGGGTTACGTGATTCACCCAGGGACCCAGGGTCACACAGCTAGTAAGTGTCTGAGGCTGGATTTGAATTCAAGTCTTCCTGATTTCAGGGCCAGTGCTCTACCACTGCACCTTCTAAGATCTCTTCTAATGTTTATATTCTAAGACCCTTCCAGAGTTCTAGTCTGGCATCTTCCATAGATTCTAAGAGTCTACAAATGGAGGACCAAGCCTGTTCAGATGACTCTCTCAATGATGCTTATTTGTTGTGTCTCTGTGGGGTCTTGATGGGGATTTTAGAGGGGCTAGGCTAGGCTTCCTGGATAAGTGGGAGATCAGTCACTTCCCTTGAAGAGAGAAATGCAGGAAAGGGTTGCTCTCATCTGTCCAAGCAGTACTCTCCAGCAGACACCAGGGAGGTGGGTGAGCACGGCTGGCCCCAGGTCATAGGTGAGCAAGAAAGGGGTGACTAGGACATTCCAGAAAGATGATCTCTTAGCTTCTCACACAGAGCTGTCTGAAATTTAGGATCTTGGGCTCTAAAGTTTTTGAAAGGTACTTTAGAGGTCACCTAGCTCAGAGGTATCAAACATGTGCCCTTCGGGCTGCACTCAGTCCACAACACTCTGGAGGGCAACTTGAAGCAGATTAAAATGTAATTGAGAAATATTTAATGAAACAAATAAAAATACGAGAAAACATAGATACTGTTCAACTCGAAGTCAATATGAGCCTGCAGGTGCCCTTATGTATGGTTTAGTGACTCCTATTTCTATATGAGTTTGATACCACTGATCTGGCCCACTCTTCTCATTGTACAGATGAGAAAACCAATACCCAGATTGGTTAAGTGACTTTCCCAAAGTTCCACAGGTAGTAAGTAACAGAGCAGGAAGTGACCTTAGAATACAGGCTAGGAGAAACCTTACAACCCAGAACATTAGAGCTGGATGGGGCCTTAGAACATAAAATGGCAGTCGGAAGGCGACTTAGAAATCACTACATCCAGCTAGGACACCAAAGGCCCAGGGAAAGGAAAAGTCTTCCAGCAAATGAGTGGCAGATCAGGACCAGGAAAGTGGGAGGAGAAGAGAATAATCATTTATATAGCGCCTATTGTGTGCCAAGCACTGTGTTAAGTGCTTTACAAATATCTCATTTGATCCCCATAACAATCCTGCAGAGTAGCTGCTGTTATTGTTCGCATTTTAGATTTGAGGAAACTGAGGCAAACACAGAGGTCAAGCTAATATGTATCTGAGGCTGGATTTGAACTCAGGTCTTCCTGATTCCATACACAGAGTTCTACAGACTGAGCCCTCTAGCAGGACTAGAACTTGCGTCTTCTGAGTCCCAGTCTCGTAGCTCCCTCAAATGCTCTATCTGGTCTCCAAACCTTTGCTGAGGGCTCAGTGTACTCCAGAAAGCCAATAATTTCTCAGCTGTACATCAGTCCAAATCCATCTCTTTTCCTCAAAACAAAAGTCCCGTCTGGTGTGACAATAAAGTTTCCCCCCCGTCTTTGCTAAGACTGAGAGACTCCTCAGTCCTTTTTCTCCCCATCTCCACCCCGTTGAACCTCCAGTCACATTACCTTCAAAGTCCGGGTCTACAAGGAATGTCTTCCATCCCTCCCCTTAAATATAGAGGATCCAAGGTCATCTCTCCTCTCATTGCTAACTTTCTTGGTCCCTTTCTTTAGTATTGTTCGTGGGGTTATTTCCCTCAGAGATTTCCCAGTGTAATGAGTCACCTCTTACATGGAGAAACAACCATAACAAAATGGAAAAAAAGCATTCATCTTGAAGTCAGAAGACCAGGCTTGGAGTCTTAACCATCTGTGTTTCCCTGGGCAGGATCCTTCAACCCCCAAGAGTCTGGTTCCCGTTTCCAGATCTAAGTAGAGGGTTGACTGGGATGATCTGAAAGGTCCCTTACAACTCTAATGTTCTATAGTTCTAAAGGCATCCTTTCACTGGAATCAGCCTGGTAATGTTTTCAAATCACCATTTTTCAAAGTGCTGACCTCTTTTTAACTCCCTACAAGTTACTATATCCGATTTTCTGCTTAAAACTGATGTGAGTTGGACCTGAATTGAAGTGAAACACTAGCAGGGTAAAAATCTGTGTTAGAGCACTTTATTGGAGTTCCAGCAAGGTGGCTGGGGTAGAGTCAAGTGCCCCAAGAGACAGTGTCCTACTTTTCCCATTCTGAATACCATTAATTCCCCTGAGTGGGACTGAACTCTGATCCCCCAGCATCATCAATAACTTTACTAACGGCTCAGACTGTAGAGCTTAGGATATTGTTGTGAAACATCACTCTAAGGCAGTTTATATGTATTCTACATGTATGTGTATATATACACAAATATTTCTGTGCATATATATACATGCCTAGAGTCAGGAAAACTCATCTTCCTCAGTTCAAATCTGTCCTCACACACTTACTAGCTGTGTGACCCTGAGCAGGTCACTGAGCCCTGTTTGCCTCAGTTTCCTCATTTGTAAAATGAGCTAGAGAAGGAAATAGCAAACCACTCCAGGATCTTTGCCAAGGAAACCCCAAATAGGGTCATGGAGAGTTGGACATGACTGAAAAATGACTTAATAACACCAAAAATGTATATGTGTACATATATGTATATTTGCATATTATATAAACAGATATGCATATAGATGTACATATATGCTGTTTGTTTCATTCATTCAGTACATGTCTCTTGCAATAAGGTAATGTCTCATTCATTGCATTTGTATCCCCAATCCCTACCACATAGCAGACACTCGTTAAATTCTTGTTGATTGGGTAATTGAGGATTCTGAGAGGGATGCGGAGGTAAAAATGCTGTTTGCTTCTTAATAGAGACTGACCAAGGCCAGCTTTAATGAGGATGCCCAGTGTGGGATGATGCGATCCCACTGTGGTCTTGGGGATCTTGCTCAAACGTTCTGTAACTGGGTCCAGTCTGTTCATTACATAGTGAAGAGACAGACTTCCTGCTGGCTGCTGAGATGGAAATGGGTGCCTCCCAAAGGCACTACCTGGTCAAAACCAGCACCTCTTCTTTTTTCCTCTCTGGTTATACTGAGGGATGAGGCAAGGACCCCTATGAGCCCTCAGAGAAAGGGCGAAAGCCTTTATCTCTCTACCAAAATCCTTAGGCCTGTGGCCCATAGGCACATGGGATTGTTATTGCTTCTGTCCCAGTCCTCCTTAATGTTGGTGCCTCCAAGTCACCCTGTACAGTATTGTATGTACATACACAGTTGTTTTTACGTTGTTTCCTCCATTAGTCCATGAGCTCTTTGAAGGCAGACATTCTGCTTTTGCTTTTTTTTTTTTGTATACCCACAGTTTAGCACAGTGGCCAGCACACAGTAGGTGCTTAATAAATGCTTGTTGACTGACATACTCTGTGCTTGTTGTGTCTATTCTTCCTGCTTTTAGGTGGAGTCCTGGAGAGGCTATGATCTTGGGAGTTCTGACAGGCTGAAGCGACAAGAGCTGCAGTGACAATTCCCTGGAGAATGCATCCCCTTGGGTCCTACAATCAATCCTCCATCTTCTTCCAGTGAAGCTGGAGTCCTCAGGAGGATTCTTGAGAATCCATCTATCGCTCACTAGGGCTACATCATGCTGATCGCCCTCATGTTTGAGCCTGCTGAAATCCTTTCTTCCTTTTTTTTTTCTTTTTGGTGAGGCAGTTGGGGTTAACTGACTTGCCCAGGGTCACACAGCTAGTAAGTGTCAAGTGTCTGAGGCCCCTTTTTTCCTTTGGCATCCAGGATGAACCTTTCTCTCTCCCCAACCCCTGAAATGAAGCTAACCTCTCCCTTCTAACATTTCATACAGCATTCTGTGGATTTCCTTTACCCCAATCTCTCTCTCCTTGGTATGACTGTTATCTGCATAGACTTTATCATTCCTATCAGATCTCTTGGATCCTAAATGCACTGAGGTCTGGGACTATGACCTTTTGCATAACCAGTGCTTGGTATGTGGTAAGGGCTTAACAAACGATTGTTGAATTTAGGGATCCCTCCATGTAGACACATTATCCTACCCTTGGGTTACTGCCATACCCCTGAACAGGAAGTGCTATGGATTCCTTGGGGTCTGAGGTTTAGCTTAATACTCCCCTCAGGGACAACAAGTTGAATGGACTGGAGTTTAAAAAATAGATAAACTCAAACCAGAATGCATTCTCTCAATGAACCAATCCAAAGGGCCAGAGGTGGCATCTTAATGTGTGGGTCCAGCTTTCCTGACTGGATCCTGGATAGAACCGTGGGTGAGATTCCTACCAAGTCTCAGAATTAGACTTTCTCTGTTCTCTTAGTACCTGTTTGAAAGTACTCCCCAGGTGTTTGGATCAGGAAACATAAAGGACCATGTGCCCCATCACCAGGGCTTCACGGATGCTCCTGACGTCTTTCATGGACTTCTAAGCAGTGTTTCACAGAATCTCAGAGTCTAACTCATATCTGAGCAGGAATCTCTAACTTTTCCACTGCGTGCATCCTAATCTCCATTTGAGGACCTCAGGGAATGGGGATCTGAGTACCACCTGAGGCTATCCATTCCATTTGTGGACAGTTCTCATTGTCAGGAAGCGTTTCCTAACTTGGAGTTGAAGCCTGATTGTCTGCACTGTCTGCCTGTGCTTCCTAGCTACATCCTCTAGGACAAGCAAAGAGAATCTACTGTTTCTTCCACGTTATAGGCATCAGAACTGAACACAGTATTCTAGATGTGTTCTGACCAAGTGAAGGCAATAATAATGATGATGATAGCTAGCATTTATATAGCACTTTAAGGTTTGCAAAGCTATTTGTATATGTTATCTCATCTGATCCTCACAACCACCTGTGAAGTAGGTGCTATTATTATCCCCATTTTACAGATCAGGAAACTGAAGCACAAAGAGGTTCAGTGACTTACCCAGGATAACACAGCTAACAAGTGTCTGAGGCAGAATTTGAATTCAGGTCTTCCTGATTCCAAATCAGGGGTTCTATCTACCATGACACCTACCTGCCTATGAAAAGCATTAGCATTATAATCTCCCTTGTTCTACACATCTGATTTCAACATTCAACAGACAGAACTGACTTTAGATCTCCGAGTAGTCCGGTTGGCTCCTCGTAGACTCTGTTTTATTCCTCTACTCAGAAGCCCTCTGGTCCGCAGGAGCTACCTTCTCAGAAGAATCATTTCCACTTACAAAACGATTGATAAAATAAGCAGAAAATTCATTCTGCAACAGGAACAGCTCCTTGTAGGGTGTTAAAACCCAGCCCCAGAGAAGCAGGCTATTGATTCAAGGGTAGGGACTGTAGGGCAATTGTCCCTAATGAAGTTTTTCTGCTCCCACATCGCCACATCTAACAGGGAACACTATTGTGTGGACAGGGTTCCCTTACGGTTCTAGGGAATCCAGAGAGGACTCAGGGAGCCTACCGTATTCAAGCAGGGGTTAGTGGTGGATGCAGGGGGGAAAGCAGAGCACTTACACTGGCTGAGAACACTCCTGAAGGTTGCATGTTCTGCGAATGGGCTTAGGCTTTGCAATGGAGTCACAACTACTTCGATGCACCATTTTGTGGTCAAGTTTCCTTCGACAGCCATATCTGGTAAGCTGGAAACCTAAAGTAGTGAAAAAAAATTTGCAGAAGAGTTTAGTCATGGTTGTTCTGTTGTTTCAGTCATGTCCAACTCTTTGTGACCCAATTTGGGGTTTTCTTGGCAGAGATACTGGAGTGGTTTGCCATTTCCTTCTCAAGCTCATTTACAGATGAGGAAACTGAGGCAAACAGGGTGAAGTGACTTGCCCAGGGTCACACAGCTAGTAAGTGTCTGAGGCCACATTTGAATTCAAGAAGATGAGTCTTCCTGATTCAGGTCCCACATTCTATCTACTGCACACCCAGTTGCTGTTTATTTACATAAAGACATTTGTAGAAAAAGTCTTTTTAGGTTTCAGAGCTGTAATGACCTCCATCTGAGCCAGCCACCAGGAATTCCTTTTTTTTTTCCTTTATGTATTTTATAATACCCAAACATGAAATACAAGAGTCACCACTGGTTAACATCTGTTGTGCAAGATCCCCTTACTGAGCCAGACACCAGACAAATATGTTAATTTCATAAATAAAATGTCCTGATCTTTCCCAGGACAGTGAGGATTTTACCCAAATTAGACTATGCTGTACTCTTCCCATATAGTAGGCCTCATTTGCAGGGAATTTATTGAGGCACAACTCTCTCTTGCTTATGTTTTCTATCACTTTAATAAAACTAGTTTTGCTTCTGCATTGATTCACATTGTCATGGTGTTCACCACCAACTTAGGACCTCCTAGGTCTAGGGAGAGGGAGGGAAAGAGGGAAGAGGGAGGGAGAGAGGGAGAGGAAGAGGGAGAGAAAAGAGAGAGAGAGAGGGAAGGAGAAGAAGGAAAGAGAGTGAGAGAAGAAGAGAGATAGAGAGGGAGAGAGAAAGAGAGAGAGAGAGAGAAAACAAATGAACTCCCCTGACAGAGTTATTATTAGTATCAACAGAATTCACTGGCCAACGGAGCCCCTACCTTCTGGTGCTTCTCATGCAAATGACCACAGCAGGTCCACGGACAGATGACATCTTGGAATCTGAGAGCTAGGGGAGGAGCTGGGAATTGAGTCTAACTCACCCAACTTCCAACAGCATTCCTAACAAGGAATCATCCAACTGTCTGCCTGAATACCCCCGGTGAGGGGGAGCTCACTAGTGACTGAGCAATCCATTCCATTGTTAGACAGCTCCGATCGCTCAGATATTCTTTATATTACGTTAAAGTCTTAATATTCCTGTAATTTCCCTGCATTTGTCTTAGTTTGGACCTCTAGGGCCAAGCACAACAATCATTTAACAAGCATTTATTAAATTTTGTTGGGCACTAGGGATAGATACAAAGACAAACATGAAACAATTCCTGCCGTAAGCTTCTATTCTTCCAGGGGAAATAACACATAAAATAAAAGAATGGTCTAGATGGCACCTGAGGGCCTTTCTAATTCTAGATGTGTATCTACGAGCCTTTATACGTCCATAGAAAATATATTCAAAACAAATGCTGGGTAATTTTGTGTGAAGGCTCTAGTGGCTGAAGGGGGTGGGGATCCAGAAAGACCTCAGGTAGAAGACTGCCCTTAAGGAGAGCTTTGAAAGGAAGGAGGGATGAGAAGAGATCATGGTCAAGAAGTAGTGCGTTCTAGGCCTGAGGGACAGGCTGTACGAGGGCATGGAGGTGAGAGATGGAACGCCGTGTGTGATAAACAACAAGAAGGCTAATTTGGCTGGCCTGAAGAGTGCGAGAAGGTATAGTAAATTTAGAAAGGTAGGTTTGAGCTAGATTGTGAAGGGCTTTACAGCCACACAGAGGGGCTTGTACTGGACTCTAGGGGTAGTAGGGAGCATCTGCAGTTTATTCAATATTGCAGTGACTTGGTCAGATCTGTGCTTTGGAAAGAAAAGTCACTTTGACAGCTGTGTAGAGAATAAATTGGGACCTAAATGCAAGGAAACCAATCAGAGGATGAGAGTCCAAGGAAGGAGTGAGCAAAGATTGAATTAGGGTAATGGCTGTGATAAGGGGAAGGATGTGAGAAATTTCCACTTTGGTACTATGATCCCCAAACCATCCAAAAGAGAATTTCCTTATCTTTTTCTTCAAATTTACTCCATTTCTCAACATCCTTCCCCTCCCATCCATCTCTGCTAACAACATCTCCATTTTCTTACTCCTGAAACTCTGACTCCTCCCTCTACTTCCTCTCTTCTCTTGATAAGGTTCCCCTCAACCCCAATAGCTTCTCAGTCACCAAGTCCTTTGGACAGTTTACACATAATGTTTCTCCCATTTATTTCCTTTGCTTCTCTTCCATTTCTCTTGCCTCTATCTGCGTCTAGGCCCCTAACATGCTCAGACCTGACAAGAGACCATCTAATTGTTGCTTTAACATTTCCAGAGATGGGGAACTCACTATTTATTTACTCAGTCTGTTTTGCTTTGGGATTGCTAGAAAGTTTTTCCTGCTGTCTGGTTCAGGACCCTAATTCCCTTTTAAAAATTAGCAGTTATGGTACCTATTATTCACATCACTCATGTTGGCCCTTCATCATATTCCTTTTTCATTGCTACTGAAATATTCTGCATGTATTTTTCCAATGACACTGGGTGCTCCCGTAAGACAAGAACCAGGTCTTGGGTCTTCTCTTTCTCTTGCTTCCTTTATTGCAAAGCTCCCTTTCTGAATGAGGGTAAGGAACTTACCTCCACCGCAGGGCTTGGAACACTGAGTCCATTTCTTCAGGGCCCACTCATGGCTCACAGAGTCTTCTACAACATTGTTGTTGTCAACATTCAGGGAATCCTCGTGGATCATGTACTTGTAGGTCAGAGAGATCTTGGCATCACCATGAGGAGTGACCTATGCGTATAGAAAGATGCCACACAGGATTTAGAACACATTTACAAGGCATGCCCTGACTTTTTTCTAGGTGACTGACTCATACCCCCCTCCCCCCAGTATTTGGAGGAAAGAGCAAGAAAGTTGAGAACCATAAATAAGATCTTTCTCTTTCCCAGGATGTACTGAGGATGGAGGTCATTTGGGAAGCCTAGTCTGAGGTGGGGTAGACTAATTCTAATTTCTTTTTTTCATGGATCATCCCATGTCTTACATTTTCTCTTTGCTCTCCAAAGGCACACGTTCCTAGATGCTGCTTTGAACAAATGCACAATGTTCAACTTTACGATTTAGTTGAGGGAAAAGAAGAATGAAGAGGGCAACTCCCCTTCCCCCTGCCCCAGTGCCGCATAGGAGGGAAGAACCGCATTTACTTCAGATTCATTCTCTCTCCTGTGACTTAGCCCTTGTAAAGGTGGATGCCCATGCCCTCATGCAGGGAATATCCTCTCTCATCTTTGCCTCTCAGAATCCCTTGTTCCCGTTAAGGCTCAGATCAAATACTATCCACTAAGAGACTTTTGCTAATTCTCCCCTGTTGCTAGGCCTTTCCCTATCTCTTTTGCCATCACTGTGTTTCTGCATATATCATATATTTATCAGTGAATATGTTGTCTCCCCAGTAGAGTATAAATTTCTTGAGACAGAGAATGTCTCACTTTTATAGTTATATCCCCATCACCAAGCAGAATGCCTTACACATAAGAGGTATTTAACAAGTGCTTGTCAATCAGCTGATTTATTGGTGCTAATCCTGCTGGCACAGAGCAAAACACCCAAGTTTTAACACTTTAGTTATATTGAAACCCAATGACAAAAGATAGTATATGGCCATCTGCTCCAGGACTGTTTCTAATCTGTCCTACTCGTTTCTAACCTACATTTATGGAAGAGACCAATTCTAATCTGCCATGCTCATTCCCCATCCCAGTCTTAAGAGCTGCCATGAACAACAGAGGGTGAATAGAGCTGTTTGGTTGTAAAGATGGGGCCCAAGACCTGCACTGTGGAGCTTATGCTGGACCTGGGCAGAGAGAGAATTTCTCCACTGCTCAGTGAGAGCAGTTTCTTTGAGAACTGTGGAGATTTCAGCATCTAGACTGTTTCAAATCCATGTCATCAAGACCATAACTGGTATATAGGAACAGATTTCAGAGTAGCTATCTTGTGTCTATATAAGTCACTTAAGGACAAAGAGAATTAACTCAACCTCAATAAGTCATATCCTCTAAACTCTCAAACCATCAACTTCATCTGACCTGTATTCTCTAAGAATGGCCAGACACATGAGGTGAATTCAAAAGAAACATCATTTTGCTTTGTATGGCTATGGCTATAGTTGTAGTGTTTCAGGATAAAGAATCCCAGTGATCCCAGCGTCATTCCAACTGCCATTTGCGGCAATGTATCTAAGCCAGGGGATGGGTCTATAGGGATCCCAAGAGAAGAGTAAGGTCTTGGAAGAAACTTTCTGGATCATGTGACTCAATGCGATTGGGTACAATTAGTTCAGTCAAAATGAAGGTCTTTTTATTTATCTTGAAGTCATTTTACACTAAAAATCTTTTTCTGTCTTCCTCATCATGGCTTTGGATAGTTGATATGGTGGTCTGGATGTCACTAAGGGTCCCTGTAGGCTACACCTCTAGGGCACACAGTCTATCAAGTTTTTATCAAATTGGAAAGGTGCCAGATGTCTGTTTTCTGAGGACCAGCCTAGTCAAATTGGAGAGGCTTGTTACCACAAGGTAGGCCCCTAGGTGATGAATTCATTAGCCATACTTCCTTAATACTTCAGGCTAATACTTGGACAAAAGATACATTGTCCATTGCCAGGCCCAACCTCAAAGACTTTCCAGCCTGATAGCACCCACAGTATTTGGAACTTTCCTGGCATAGCTTTTGAAAATCCAAGGTCACTACTCTATGCTAAGCACCATATTAAGCTCTGAGGATACAAAATTGAAACAGTCTCTGCCTTGAAGGTGCTTACATTGTGATGGGGGGCACAACATGTAAAAATAGGTGCATATAAGATGAATAATAAATGGAAGGGAATCTCAGAAGGAAAAGCAATAGCAGCTGGGACTGGGGACTGGGAAAGGCCTCTTGCAGAGGCAGCATAGGACTTCAGTGGAGAGTCACTCATGTGACAGACAAAAATACAAATGGCGCTCCATCCTGTATTGGACCCTTTTACTTCTGTCACTCCTTTTTTGCTGGAACCCCTCAGGCTTCCTAGTATACTAGAAGTTCTGAAATATCCAAATAAGCAGTGTTTATTATTAGTGGAGAATTATCCATAACTTATAGATGGATTATGATAAGGTTTAGTGTAAGTAATTTCCATCCCAACTAAATCACAGATCCCTGATACGATGATCAATTTTTAATGTGCCCATTGGCATCAGAACCTCCAAAATGTGGGCATTCAGTCCATGTATGACTCTACTGGGGGGCAGTGGTACAGAGGCTGTTGACAGACATAGACCTTGATACCTAGAGGAAGGGTAAGAACATCAGAATAGGGTGAGAATTTGCTGGAACATTTTTCACCATAGCCCACATAGACATTTAGAAATGGTTGCTGCTTACTTAGAAATGGCCGCCATTTCCTTTCTTTGTCCTTCCACTTCTCAGGAAGGCTATTAAATCATGAAATTTAGAGCTGAAAGGGACATCGGATGTCAACGTCCTCATTTTATAGTTGAGGAAAAGGAGTCTCAGAAAGGCTAAGTCTTAGTAAACACAGACAGTAAGTAGCAGCCCTGGAATTTGAATTGGTCTTAGGCCAGCTAGTTGGCACAGTGGATATAGAGTGTCAGGCTTGAAATTAAGAAGACTCATCTTCATGAATTCAAATATGGCCTCAGACACTTACTAGCTGTGTGACCCTGGGCAAGTCACTTAATCCTGTTTTCCTCAGTTTCCTCATCTGTAAAATGAGCTGGAGAAGGAAATGGCAAACCACTCCAGTATCTTTGCCAAGAAAACCCCAAATGGGGTCATGAAGAGTTAGACACAACTAAAAAAAAAGACAATAACTATGATCCCAAATTCTATGGTCTTCCTACCTACCATACCGCTGGTGATGTTACCAATAGGTACTAACTTTAGGTGACCTGAGGCTCCCTAGAGGCAGAAGTTTGACAGGCATTCAACTAATACTGGGAAACTGAAAACCACTGCTCAAGGGTCAGGCCCTGGGGAAAAGAAACTGTATGACAATAATGAGATAATTCCAGAAAGGCTCAGAGTAGTATATTAGGACTCCAGAGCAAGTCTAGAGTTCTAAATGTCCACCTAGCTGCATGTCTTAATCCATGTTTGAGGATGCTTTTATTTCCCAGAATCTCTACCCCAGGGTGTCTAACTATAGTCCTGGCAGCCCTGTCTCTTATCTCATCTCCAACAACGTCCTTGTGTTTATTTCATATATACCTATGTATATGCAAGTTATGGAGATAATAACTGAGTAGAATGAAATCTCCTTGAAGGCAGGCACTATCTCATTTTTGCCTTTGTATCCTTGGCACCTCGCACAACGTCTGATACATAATGGATTCTTAATACATTCTTGTTGATTGATTTTTCTCACACACAGCCAATAGATGCTTTTTGAAATGAAAGCCTTGGAGAGTCTAGGGATTCCTCTGAGAGCTCCAGAGGCTCCCTGCTTGCCTTCCAACTCACCAGTACTGTTATGGCACCATACAGAGGGCCCATCGTCTGGACAGTTTCTCGATCGTCGTCATTTCGGTATTCCCATTCCACACCCATGTCAATGAAGACCTTGGAATCAGGAACCAAGTTTTCCTCATTCAAAACAAACTTCCCCGTCTCTTGGTTCTTGATGGCTGGGGATCCAAAAGAGAAACCCACCCCGCAAAACCCCCATCCAAAGTCAAGGCTTAGCCAATATGGGAGAAAGGAGAGCAATGAGTCAGAGTAAAGGGCTTTGTTTCTGTCAGGGAAGTCAGAACAGGCTCAGGCTGTCACCCTATACTCAGAGGCTCAGAGGCCCATAACTCCCTTGGTCAAAGCTTTCAAAGTAGATGAATAGTTGGAGGCACTTGGTCGAGTTTCCTTGCTTCCAGGACCCCCAGCATATTCACATGTGGTTGCCCCCTCTGGAAGTAAAGGCCACACATTGAGCTGTGCCCACTCATAATTCTGTTGCATTGCTTGCTAAAGGTTCCATTCTTGAGATCATGAGCTAGAAAGGATCTTTGAGACGATCTTGCCAAACCCCCTCATTATACTGACAAGGAAACTGAGGCACAGAAAGTGAAAGTGACTTGCTTGCTCAAGGCCACACAGCAGAGCTGGGCTTTGGACATAACTTCCATGACTACAGAGATAATTTTCCCCCCTACAATACCAAGCTAATTACATCAAAAAAACCTGACCAAACTGGCTATCTCATACTTCATTAGGTTAATAGATAGAAAGAGATCATCAGTGACTGCCCCAGCATGCCAAAGGCTAAAGAATATTGTCCTAGGAAGAAAACTGAAGCTTCCTGTTTAATGCCACCTCATTATGAATGAAGCTCTGCTTTGTTGCTGGGGGAGGGGTGAAGGTGGTAACAGCACCAACTTTCCTGCTCCTATGTTTCTGTTGCAATAGACTTACCCGAAAGGAACAGATCTGGGACATTTCAGGGGGCTGGGAGGAGATATTCTTTGTAGCACTGTTCACCGGGGTATATGCAGAAAACGTATAATACAAGTCACAGAACTACCTGGCATGCATATTCCCCTGAGGTTTTGCCCATCTGCAGGTGGAAGATACCTCACTAGGCTGTGGAGAAGTAGTGGAAAGAACGCTGGATTTTTAACTTGGGTTCAAATGTTTCCTCTGCTTCTTACTACCTACGTGACCTTGGGCACTTAAACTCTCTGAGCTTCCATTTTCTGCTCTGTAAAATGGCATTTGAATGGATGGACTCTAAGGTCTTTCCCAGTTCTGAATCTCAGCATTCCATGCAGGTACAAGCCTCAATGCCTACAAAGTAGCTGTGGTAAGTCTATCCTAAATGCTAGAACAAGAAACTGTTACGAAGATAGAAGCTTGACTGCTTCATGGGTGGAAAGAATGGGTCATTAGGGAAACATCCACTCCAGTTAAAAATTATTTATGAGAATCTCAATCAATTCCATCACAGTGAAATGGAAGAATTTCAATTAGCATTCAGGTGAATGATGAATGTGATATCTTGATATTAATGAAAAAAAGCACAAGTGATCAGAGCTGGAATGGGTCTTAGGGGCCCTCTAGTTCAACCACCTGATGACAAAAATCACAGAATTTCAGAGTTGGAAGAGCCCCCAGAAACCATCTAGTTCAACCTATATCGCTATGAGAATTCCCTCTACAACACAGACAAGAAGTGGTCATCCAGGCTTTTCTTGAAGGCCTCCACGGAGAGGGAAACTCCTGCTTCCTTAAGTAGTTCATTCTCCTGGGTAGCTCTCATTGTTAAGTTTTCTTTACTCATCAAAGGAATTCCCTTCCTTTATCAAGTCTAAATCTGTTCCTTTGTCTCTTTCACCTCTACTTGTGCTGCCCTCTGGGGTCTAGTAGAAAGAAGTACAATCCTCGTCCAAATACCTGAAGAGAGCTCTTTTGTCCCCCTAAGTTTTTTCTTTCCCAAACTAAACTCCTCAGTTCATTCAACCAATTCTTTATCATCCTGGTTGCTGCCCCCATCCTGGCCCCTTTCCCCTGTTCAGTACCCAGAACTGAACATATCCTAATTAGGACAGAGTACAGCAGGATAATTATCTACCTAGTCCTAGACATGAGAAGTCTCTTAATGCAGTCTTTCTTTTGAGGGGGGAGGCATGCGGGGGCTGAATTATCATATTATTGAAGTGCTTGTGTGGAACTGGCAATTCACTAAGCCTCCCCCACCATGTAATTTTCAGATCTACTGCTGACCATTCTTCCTTTTCTCATATTGTACCTGTCAAGTAGATTTTCTGAGTTTAATTGTAAGACTCTAAATGTATCCCTATTATATTTAATCTTATTAAAGCTATCTCAAGGTTGAGATTTATTTGGATTCTGACTCCTACCCAATATGGTATTATCCGATATGTTAGCTATTCTTTCCACCTTTATGCCATTTGCAAATTTGATAAGCATGACATTTGGACCTTTATCCAAGTCATTGACAGAAATGTAAAACAGTACAGGGCTCAAGCACAGATCTCTGGGGGCATCCACTCGAGATCTTCCAGGCTGACAATGGACCATTAATAACAACTTTTGGGGTCCATTTATTCTGAATCCCTCTAATTGTGATATCACATTTCCACATTTTTTCAATGAGAAAGAACTGCATGAGGGATTAGTTAAATAATTTCTTAAAATTTAGGTAAACTATATCTTCAGCATTCCCTATTACCAGTCTAATAATCCTGAAAAAAAAAACTGGAATGAGTTTGACCTTTCATGATCTATTTTTGAACACATAATTGCTATTTGCATCTTGTTCTAGATGCTTACTAACCCTCCCATTAATAATACATTTGAGAATTTTTACAGGAATCACATTCAAGTTCACTGACCTATAGTGAACAGACTCCATTTCCTCTATCCTTTTTCCCCCCTCCCTGAAAATCAGTGACTGGCTCAGTAATCACATTTGCCAGTTCTTTCACTATAAAAGGATATAATTCATCTAATCCCGGTAACTTGAACTCATAGAGGGTAGCTAATGGACTCCCACGTCCCACTATTATCTCACTGTTTACCTAAGATGCTCCTTATTAGTTTATGTTTGCCACGTCCTAACTTGTTGAAAGATCATTCTCCTTGGCAGAGAAAACAGAAGAAAAAGCAGAACTGAACACCTGTCTTCTCACCATCTTCAATTATCATTGTCTGATTCAAACCAGGTAGTGTTTCTATTCCTTCTTTGAGTATTCTTCCTCCTCCCCAATTCCCCCCCCCATATAGCATAAAAATTCTTTCATTAACCTTAGTTTCCTTTATTAGTCTCAGTTAATTCTGAGTTTTAGAATGCTTGACATTGCTATTAAGGGACCGTGCTATCCTTTAGTATTCCTTCTCCGTGATCTCCTCATCTGTATGCGTATTAAGAAAAAATTGGTCAGTGAATTCCTTGTGTGACAATACTGATCTCTTTAGATAAATTTCTCCTTTTCTACCTCATCAGACTTGCTTTTTTATTTTCATAACCTGGGTTGCCCATGGGTGTTTTGCCTACTGCTGCGTAAGTGTGATTTGGAATTAATAGAAAGAATGATTTCTCATTGCTTGCTGAGTTGGCATGAGAAGTTTGGAAAAGAGAGACATTCTTTTTCATTCCTATTTGAAGAGAGGCCCATTCAATTATAAATTCTCTTTTGGACCAAACTCAGTGGACAGAGACAGATTTTGGAAGGCAGACATATGGGGGAGCTGGCTCCTCAACACGTCCCTTATTTCTACCATGCTTCCCTGGAGACTTTGGGAAATTTTCCCCCTTTTGGTTATATTGGAGCTCCTTTCTTGGTTAAGCTGAGCTATCTTGTTTCTCAGTGAGAGCTCATTCATTCAGCTTATTTTCTGGTATGTTCTAATTTGTATAACTGTTCTGATTTTTGTTTGCTATCTGCTTGGATAAATGCATTTACTCACTCATCACTATTCATGATGATCTTTTGTGTAACTACCATTCTGGGACAGGAGCCATACCTACAAATATAAACTTGGGGTACCCTTTAGGGTATAGTGACCTGGAAAGCACTCCTGGTGCTTCAGCTCCTTATATTAGGATCTCTTGTTTACTTCTCTGGTTACTCATACTTTGTGCATTTTTGTTGAAATATCTGAGGCCATAGGGTTTATTGTAGGGTTTTTTCTTGAATTTTATTTTAGAATTTTATTTTTGAGAAATTTCTATCTTTCTTAAGATGGTTTCCTAGTAGAATTTTAGTTCATGGGATCCTCTCTTTCTACTCTTCGTCTTAACCCTGAGTCTTTTTCTCCTAAAGTCCTTCCTCTTCTTACATGCTTCTGTTTGAATTCTTCTTCAAGCTCCTTTCTTTTCTACCTCAGCCTAAATTCTTCTCTTCTTCATTTTCTCAAGTCCTCCCAACTTTCCCGTACCCAAATGCAATCTCTGACTTTCACAATTCCCAAACCCCCCACAACCTGCCAAATAACTCCCCCATTCCTTCTCCTTCCCTTCCTTTTCCTCAGGTCCCTATCTTGCTCTTTCTCCTATCCAACCTTCTCCTACTGAAACACAGGAACTACTGTAACACACAGAAACACAGCTTACATACTAAGGAAACTGGGGCCAAAGAGAGGATCAGACTTGCCGGAGGTCATACATCAAGTAAGAAATGCAGCTGCAACCAGCAATGTTGATGTTGAGTTCACTCTCTCCACCCCACCAGACAACGCTGCCTTTCCTCACGCAGAATTTGAAAGTGTGTGAGCACTTCTCAGCACGCTTCCTATGCCTGGGCCATCTTCAGAAACGGTGAAGACCACCAAACCATGGTGTAAGGCCATGTGCTGTGGCACTAGAAGGACCACTAGCATAAGTGTCAGGAGACTGGAAACATTTCTGTTTCTTTTTAGACATTTGGTTTAAGGTAAGTCAATTTCCCCCTCTGAGCCTCAGTTGCCATATTTATAAAATAGGGATAATACCATCTTGTCCTAGATACCCCATGGGGTCTGTAATAGTGTATGTGAAAGTGTTAGGCAGCTGGGTGGCACAGTGGATACAGCATAGCGGAGCCTTGAGTCAGGAAGATCTGAGGACACATCAGGCCTCAGACATTTACTAGCTGTGTGATCCTGGGCAAATCACTTAACCCTGTTTGCCTCAGTTTGCTTATCTGTAAAATGAGCTGGAGAAAGAAATGGCAAACCACTCAGAGAAGACCCCAAATAGGGTTATGAAGAGTAGGACACAGCTGAAAAATGACTGAACAGCAAAAATGAAAGTGTTCTGTAAGTTGTAAAGTGTTCTACAAATAGGAGTTAAGTTAAATGCCTTTCACAGAATCATAGGATTGAGATCTGGAATGAATCTTAAACATCACCTAGTTCAACATTTTCATTTTACAGATGAAGAAATTAAATCTAATGGAAGTTAAGTGACTTATCCAAGGTCATATAAGTAGTTGTGTCTTACTTGGGACTGGAATTCAAGTCCTCTGATTCAAAATCCAATTCTCCTTCATTCTAACATGCTGCTTAGAGCTATGCCAGAGTGGAGTGTAATACCTTGATAAGTAGTGAATTCCCCATTCACTACAAGTGTGGCTGGATAATCATTTGCCAGGGATATCATGGAGGGAATATGGCCTCTTCTTGGAAACCCCACACCAAAGCATCTTGTTCCCTGATGGTCCTAGATTGTTTCCCATCCCAAAATATCCTCCAATTTTGGGGGGACTGAGTCACATGGGATCAATGGACTGGATTTCTTAGTCCATTTTCCAATCTTGGCTCATTCTCGGTCAATAGGAAAGTCCTAATTGCACAGTGGGTTTTGGGGTATTATACCTACATTCAGAGCTAATCTAATTAATGGCTTTCTCAATTCTCCTTCCATGCTCACCCTCTCAAGGAAGGACTTCAAAAATACATTGCATAACTTCTATGAAGTATTTCCAAAGACAAGGCCCTCCATCTCAAATCCAGAGCCCAGCTTTAGGACTCACACTAATGCCAAGCCAGCCCTCCAAGAAACTGTAATGCCCACAGCCATGAATTATACTCACCCAGGCTGTGATGAGTAGCATCTGTTTCCTGTATGAGCAAGTGTCTTGCCCCAGCTGGGATTTCAAACATCTTGATGTAACCTTCATTAGGATATTTAAAGAAAAAATGAGCTTATGATGGCTGAGTTATGGCCTGACCTGCTCCAGGGGCTTGTGAAAAGGGATGTATGAACAGGAAGAACTATGTTGCTACAATGTACATATGGTCACGATCGCATGTACATATGAATACATATAACACACAGGCACACAATATAGGAACACAGAATGTACACATAGCCATGAACATATGTACACATGATCACATACAATATAGGAACGCATACAGTATACACATGTTCATGAATGTATATGTACATACGAACACATACCTATTCAGAGTCAGCGTTTTACAAAGAAAGAAATAACTAACCATAAGTGTGCCTGGAGTGAAATGCATGCATGTGTGTGTGTGTGTGTGTGTGTGTGGGTGTGGTGTGTGTGTGGCTATTTTCTCTCATTGGTCAGTTATAGTAAATAAAGTAAGATGAAGCCATTTGCCCTAGGTCATTTGGCTCTCAACCCTAGATCACATGCCATATGGTAAAATCAGTAGACATTAATTTATAGCCACAATTAGTCAAAAGATTATGGGTCTATAAATACATCGTCTCTGTGTCCTACCAGGAACCCAGCATTGTGCTAGTTACTGGGTATATCAGGCACTATTCAGCAGCAGCCTTTACTTAAGAACAAGGCCAAAGAGGGGTTAGAGCATTCCAAGCAGGGGAATGTTGGAGCAGAAATACAGAAACTGGAGCGGGCCTGCCAGCCGTCGAGTTTAGTCAGAACTCTGACATTTGTTCCGGGGCAAATGAAGCTGGAAGTGCAGGCAAGGACCAGATTCAAGAGGGCCTTGGATGCTTGGCTGAAGAGTGGACTTAGGGCGATGAGGCTCTCTACCTGACATGAGGCCTCCCAGAAGGTAAGAGGTAGTGACCAAGAGGGATGAACAGCATGATTGTGGCCCCTCTTGCACCACGAAGAGTTGACCAAAATAGACAACTTCGTGCACAGGACAGCACTGAAGGGAGGAAGCATGCCAGTCATGTCCTTGTTTCTAATTAGCTCCCTGGGACTGAACTGACCAATAGGTCAGAGCCTCAGCAGGCCTGAGAGGTGGGGTGTGAGAGGCAGAGTCTATGAAATCTGAAGAGGAGAGTCTCAGAGCAAGAAAGGCTAAGAGGACAGGTGCAATCTAAAGGATTCAGACAGACAACCCGGGGGCAGTATGATACTGGCCAGAAAGCAAGACCTAAAAAAAGAGTGTGAGTTAGGAGGCTGGGGGCAATTGTGGTCATTCAGACATCATCAGACTAATTGAGAATGCTTGATCTCAGTGGAGATGTACTTGGTTGTGTTGATGTATTTTTAGTACCACACCTTTGATTTCATCAGTGCAGGGTCTGTCTCATGAGAAAATGCCGTCTCCCAATGCAGAGCAGAATCTACTCTGCAATTTCGAATCTTAAGAGTGTTTTCTGGGGAGCAATAACTTGGCCAGGATCACACAGCTAGTAAGCGTCTGAAACAAGAACTGAACCTGGGCCTTCCGAAATTCCATATTAGCCCAACTTGGTGGTTAAAAGAGCTTAAAAAAAAAAACAAAACCAAACATACCTTATTGTCTGATGATGGAATGCTCTGTCTCTTTAGTCCTATTTAGTAACCTGGGGCAGGTGTGGCCCAGGTAGGAGAATCTGAACAAATACTTCATCACAATACCTTGGACAAGGATTCTCAAACTTTTTTGTCTCAGGACTCTTTAAAGTTGTTGAGGACCTCTTTATGCTCTTAAAAATTACTGAAGACTCAAAGAGCTTTTATTTATATTTATTTTTAAAATTTTTATTTATTTTATTTATTTCTTTATTTAAATATTCACATTATCATATTTATCAATATGTGCTGTATTAATAAATTAAAACTGATCATTTAAAATATTTATTTGTTTTTAAAGATCATAAACCCATTACATGTTAACATAAACAACATATTTTTAATGACAAAAAAAAGCCCTGTATTTTCCCAGACAAAAATAATTTGGTGAGAAGAGAGGGATTATTTTATATATTTTTGAAAATATCTTTAATATCTGGAGGCATTGGGATAATGTCTGAGGATAGTTGGATTCTCATATCTGCTTCTGCATTCAATCTGTTGTAATATATTGTTTTGGTTGAATTATCATAAAGATATATAGTTAGAAAAAGGAGGAGTATTTTAACAGGCAAATAACATTTTAGTATTATGAAAATAATTTTCATCTCACAGGTACCCTGAAAGAGTTCCAGGAATTCTGAAGGGCCTTCAAGACCACACTTTGAGAACTGCTGTCTTAGACTTTATCCCATGGTAAACAGGGACTCATCAAAGACTTTGAGCAGGAGAGGTAGATGGTCATGCCTATTCATTAAGAACATTCATATGGCAACATGTACAGGAGGTACCAGAGAAGGAGAGAGACTGGAGGGGAGGAGAGAGGCTGGGATGCTGTTGTGATATGGTCTAGCTGTAGGAACAGAAAAGAAAGACACTGCAGAAAAAGAATGAACAGGACTTGGGGATTGGATGTTGCGGTTAAGGGAAAGGAAGACATGGCCATATGAAACCACCGGGTAGTATATAAATGAAGGGAGAAGAGTCAGGTACAGGGTATATAACTGACCTTGTTTCTTAGGTAATCTTGTGAATGTCCCTTTGATTACTTTGCAGTGTGAGTTATCTCCTCCACACACACCACATTTGTCTTCTTGTTTGGTTGAGCCAATCACCCGGTCACAGCCAACTTTCTGTGGGGAAAAAAGGAAAAGCCACGTCAAGAATGGCCTCATCCTCATTCCCCAACAGCATCAGGATATCTTATTGATGTTGCCAAAGCTACCAGAGCCCCATGATGCTGGCAGGCACATAGCAAGGGCTTCAGAGGCCTCTGGGGTATAGTGGAAATCCTCAGAGTCCCCCAACTTAATCAACATGAGAAGTTCTTGAAACACTGTAGGAAAAATCAAAGTTCTACAAATCAAAGCCTACTTTCAATTACCTTAGGGAGCTTTCTATTTCAGAAGGCACTGAAGTGAATCCTTTTGCAAAGTGAATAATCTAGCAGGGCCACGTCTATTGACAAAAACATTGTCTGTCTACAAAGCTGCAACTGTATTATTTGTCTTCATCTATAAAAAGGTGTAAGTTACATGGAATTCAGATCTGGGTGGCCCTAGGCCAGGACTCTCACTACTTAGCTGGAGACATGGTTCTGGGAGCATCAATATAATTCCCTGTTCTACTGAAAGCACAGCTTTTCCCTTAGTGACATCAATCACTTCTTTGCCGCTAAAGAAAATCTGAAGGGAAAAAATCTGAAGGCAAGGTCATTTTTGTAAAAGATGTGCTGGGATTAGGACAAAGTTCCTCATGGTATGGCACAGTAGACAGATCAATGAACTTGGAGGCAGGAAGAGTTGGCTCCAATTCCACATCAGACACTTACTAGATCTGTGACACTGGGCAGGTCACTTGATCTTTTTGGGCCTCAGTTCCTTCATCTATAAAATGAGGGTTAGACTTGATGATGTCTCATACAGTTTTAAATCTGTGATCGTACCCACACACAAACTCTGTGCCAGATCTGGCCCTAGGGAACTGTCTGCTTTCTGAAAGTGGCGACTGAGATTCTATTCTACCTAGGGAAAGCTAGGCGATCAAATCAGTCAATACTTAAAGAAATTAACTCAGGCTGTTCATTGGAAGGTCAAATATTGAAGCTGAAGCTTAAATAATCTGGCCACATAATGAGAAGACAGGACTCACTGGAAAAGACCCTGATGTTGGGAAAGATTGAAGGCAAAAGAAAAATGGCAGAGGATAAGATGGATAGATAGTGTCATGGAAACAATGACCATCAGCTCAGAAAGACTTTGGGAGATAGTGGAGGATTGAAGGGCCTGGCATGCTATGGTCCAGAGCTGAACATGGCTGAATGCGCAAAACAACCGAAGGGATAGCTACATGAAAGTAAAAATCTATTCAACCATATACCTGAGATCTGAAGAAGGAACCTTTAGAAGATCCTGTAGACTATGAGGAGGACCTATTAGAAAGAGGTGGCTTCTTCCTCCTCCAATTACCATCATCATTATTGTGACTGCTGTTACTATGACTTTTACTGCAACTATCTATCACTCTTATTACTACTACTATTATTATTATTAATATTGCTGTCATTGTTATTAGACATTCTAGACTCAACTGGATTGACACTAATGGAGCAGTAGCAGTCATGGATATCCCAAACTAGAGATTAATTCTCATCCTTATCCACCCTTCCCTCCAAATTATTTATATTTGATTCTGGGAGATGTTTTAAGCCTTGTCTCTGAACAAGGGAATACATATGGACTCATGGGATCAGAGTATCATAGACTTAGAGCTGGAAGGGACCTTGGAAGTCATTGAGCATGACTCCACTTTACCGATGAGAAAACTGAGGCACAGAGAGGCTGAGCATTCAAATTCCCTGACTGCTCAAAAGTCACCTAGTTACTTTACCCTCTTCCACTTTTCATTCTCCTCCCTGATCCCCAGTCCAGATGAGAAGAGACCAGTAGCTTTCAGACTCCTCCTGGGTTTGACTTTTAACTCCTCCCTGGACCTGGTGAAGATGGTCAGGTGGTCCTAGCTAATAAGATCTTTCCCAGTTTGGCTTATTCATGTATAGTTGAAGGTCACACATTCTAGAGTTATATTATCATTACCATAGTGAAGATGTGTGTTTCTGTAGGGTAGGAACCACTTCATGTTCATCTTTGTGTCCCCAGGGCCTAGCAAAGTGCCTGGCAAAGAATAAGCACTTAATAAATATGTGTTGTTTGATTAATCTATGATTTCATCACCATGAGGAATGCTTAGAGTGAAATTCCTCCTACCAGCGCAGGTGCTCCCATCGCTCCTCCTTATTAGATATGAACCAGGGAATGGTCTGAGCAGAGAGAAATTAATGGACTTACTCAGAGGCACCTTGTAAGCTGTCAGAGGCAGGATTTGGACCCAGTTTTCTTGACTCCAAGCCCAACTTTCACCTACTATATCATGCTCTAGCAGTAGTAACAATAAATACACACTTGTACAGGGTGTCATAGTTGACAAATCATTTTCATATATCTTATTAGTTTGAAGTTAGGCCACCTCTGTGACATAGGCCAACTTTACAAGATGACATGTTTTTAAAAGTAAACCAACATAGGACTGAATCACAGGCATCTGTGGTGGTTTCCAGACTTCTCAACCTACAAATGCCAAAGACAACTTAGAAGGTCAGTAGGAAAAGTCTGTGACTGTGATGAGAGAGAAGCTCAGTCCCAGTCCAGGCCTAGTGCAGCCCCGGGGTGGCAGCTGCTTCTAGAGCTCTCGGTTCACAGACTGAGGGGGGAAACAAGTGGCTGAATAGAGGGGGATTGCAGGGATCTCTTTGCTGGTGCTGAGGCAGGATTCTTTTGCATTGCCCACACTTGGATCTGGGTCACAGTTCCGGGTGGCAGTCCTGGGGCAAGGAAGAGCCATTGGTGTGGTGGAGCTTATAGTGGTGGTACAGAGAAAATCCTTCTCGCAGTTCCAAGGCAGAAAAGAGTGCTTGTGGTCACTCATAGACAAGAGCACAAGCCAAGAAAGGAGTAAACACCTCGCCCTTGATCATACCACCCTGGAAGAACTGAAAACTTACAGGTCCCTAGAAGTATCTCTGAAAATAGCTGCACAAAACCCCCCGAAGCTTGGGACAGTACATTCTCCACACTGGAAGCAGACTCCTACCTTAACAAAGAGTTTATATCTCAAGTAACTGTCTAGGATCATGAGCAAACTGAGCAAAAAAAGTCAGAGCATAGACTCTTTCTCTGGTGACAAAGAAGATCAAAACATACAACCAGAAGAAGACAACAAAGTCAAAGCTCCTACGTCCAAAGCCTCCAAGAAAAATATGAATTGGTCCCAGGCCATGGAAGAGCTCAAAAAGGATTTTGAGAAGCAATTAAGAGAAGTAGAGGAAAACTGGGAAGAGAAATGAGAGTGATGCAAGAAAATCATGAAAAACAAGTCAACAGCTTGCTAAAGGAGACCCCCCAAAAAATACTGAAGAAAATAACACCTTAAAATTAGCATAACCCAAATGGCAAAAGAGGTCCAAAAAGCCAATAAGGAGAAGAATGCCTTAAAAAGCAGAATTGGCCAAATGGAAAAGGAAGTCCAAAAACTCACTGAAGAAAATACTTTCTTAAAAATTAGAATGGAGCAAATGGAAGCTAGTGACTTTATGAAAAATCAAGACATTGTAAAACAAAACCAAAAAAAAAAAAAAAGAAAACAATGAGAAATATCTCATTGGAAAAACAACTGACCTGGAAAATAGATCCAGGAGAGAGAATTTAAAAATTATTGGACTATTTGGAAGTCATGATCAAAAAAAGACCCTAGACATTATCTTTCAAGAAATTATCAAGGAAAACTGCCCTGATATTCTAGAACCAGGGGGCAAAATAGAAATTGAAAGAATCCACCGATCACCTCCTGAAAGAGATCCCCAGAGGAAAACTCCTAGGAATATTGTAGCCAAATTCCAGAGTTCCCAGATCAAGGAGAAAATATTGCAAGCAGCCAGGAAGAAACAATTCAAGTATCATGTTTTTTTTTTTGTTAGGCAATGGGGGTAAGTGACTTGCCCAGGGTCACACAGCTAGTAAGTATTATGTGTCTGAGGCTGGATTTGAACTCAGGTCTTCCTGAATCCAGGGCCAGTGTTCTATCCACTGCGCCACCTAGCTGCCCCCAATTCAAGTATTATGGAAACACAATCAGGATAACACAAGATTTAGCAGCTTCTACATTAAGGGACCAGAGGGCTTGGAATATGATATTCCAGTGGTCAAAGGAGATAGGATTACAACCAAGAATTGTCTATCCACCAAAACTGAGTATAATCCTTGGGGTGAAATGGACATTCAGTGAAATAGAGGACTTTCAAGCATTCTTGATGAAAAGACTAAAGCTGAATAGAAAATCTGACTTTCAAATAGAAGACTCAGGAGACGGATGAAGAGGTAAACAGGAAAGAGAAATCATAAGGGACTTATTAAGGTTGAACTGTTTACATTCCTGCATGGAAAGATGATATTTGTAACTCATGAGACCTTTGTCAGTATTAGGGTAGTCAGAGGGAAAAAATTATATGTATGTATGTATGTATGTATGTATGTATGTATAGATAGATAGATAGATAGATAGAGGGCACAGTGAGTTGAAGATGTAGGGGTGATATCTGAAGAATAAAATTAAGGGTTAAGAAAGAATTATACTGGGAGAAGGAGAAAGAGAGAGGTAGAATGGGGTAAATTATCTCCCATAAAACAGACAAGAAAAGGCTTTAACAGTGGAGGGGAAACAGGGGAAGGTAAGAAGGAATGAGTGAATCTTATTATCATCGGATTTGACTTAAGGAGGGAATATCACACACACTCAATTAGGTGTGTAAATCTATCTTACCCTACAGGAAAATAGAGGGGAAAGGGATAAGAGAGCAGAGGGATGATAGAGGGGAAGGCAGATTTGGGGAGGGGGTAATCAGAAGCAAACACTTCTAAGGAGGGACAGGGTCAAAAGAGAGAATAGAATAAATGGGGGACAAGATAGCATGAAGGGACATATAGGTAGTTTTTCATAACATGACTACTATGGAAGTATTTTGCACGACTACACATGTATAACCTGTATTGAGTTGCTTGCCTTCTCAATGAGGGAGGGTGGGAGAAAATTTGGAACCCAAAGTTTTAAAAACAAATGTTAAAAATTATTTTCACATGCAACTGAGAAATACGACATACAGGCAATGGGGTATAGAAATCTATCCTGCCCTATAGGAAAATAGAAGGGGAAGGGGATAAGAGAAGGGGTGGAGATAGAAGGAAGGGCAGATTAGGAGAAGGGATATTCAGAATGCATGCCATTTTGAGGTGGGGGGAAGGATGAGAAGGGGAGAAAATTTGGAACTCAAAATCTTGTGGAAGTGAATGTTGAAAACTAAAAATAAATTAATTAATTAAAAAAATAAAAAAGTAAACCAAATACATAGCAAAATAGGGCTAAGAGAGAGGGGTTGGACTTATGATTTCATTGGCATAGGTACCTCCAGGAGAGGAAATTCTCTCTACGTGTACCAATTGGAACATTCTCTACAGCTTAGATCCTTAGAGAATTGCCTAGAACACTGAGAAGTTATGACTTTCTCAGAGTCAAAGAGACAGTATATGTCAAGGGCAAGAGTTGAACTCAGCTCTTCTTGATTTGAGGCTGGCTATCTATCTACTATACTATGCTGTCTCTTGGGAAAAGAAGGATACAAAATCACTGCATTATTACATCATAAACTAGAGGAACAAGGAAGAACTTTCCTTTCAGAGATTTGAATAGGGAAAGAGTTTATGATCAAACAAGAGATAAAGAGGACTACAGAAGATAAAGTGAGCAATTATTAATCATATATAATTGAAAAGTTTTTTCCCCACAAACAAAACCAACACGGTTATTGTTAGAAGGGAAACAGTTAATTGGGAAAAAATCTTTACAGCAAGTTTTTTGAATACAAGTTTAATTTCCAAAAAAGGAACTGATTCAAGTGTAAGAATAAGAACCATTCCACAAATGGTAAAAAGGGGGATATAAACAGATATTTCTCAAAGGAACATATTCAGGCTATCAATAGCCAAATGAAAATATGTTCTAAATCACAAATAGTTGGAGGAATGCAGATTAAAGCAACACTGAGATACCATCAGACTGGCAAAGTGACAAAAAAAAAGGCAAATGTTGGAGGGGCTGTAGGAAAACAGGTACATTAATGTACTGTTGGTGGAATTGTGAATTGCTATTGAGGCAGAGGAACTAGAGACCAAATCACCAACATTCGCTGGATTATGGAAAAAGCAAAGGAGTTCCAGAAAAAACATCTACTTCTGCTTCACTGACTACACTAAAGCCTTTGACTGTTAGAATCACAACAAAATGTGACAAGTCCTCAAAGAGATTGGACTACTAGACCATCTTACTTGTCTCCTGAGGAACACATATGAAGGTCAAAGAGTTAGAACCAAGAACAGTTAGAACCAAACATGAAAAAATGATTGGTTTAAGATTGGAAAAGAAGTACTATAAGGCTGCATATTGTCACTAAATTTATTTAACTTATGTGCAGAGTACATCGTACGAAATGCCAGGAGGGATGAATCAAAAGCTGGAATTCAGGTTGCCAAGATAAATATCAACAATCTCAGATACTCAGATGATATCACTCTGAAGAAAGTGAAGAATTAAGAAGGCTTTTCACGAGGGCAAAAGAAGAGAGTGTAGAAACTGGCTTGAAGCTTAACATAAAAAACTAGGATCATGGCAATTGGTCTCAGCATTTGCTAGCAAATAGAGGGAAGAAGAAATGGAAGCAGTGCCAGGTTTTATATTCTTGGGCTCAAAGATCACTGCAAATGGTGACTATGGTCATGAAATTAAAAAATGCTTGTTCCTTAGAAGGAAAGCTATGGCAAATCTGGACAGCCTACTAAAAATCAGAGACAAGGCCTCAGCAACAAAGGTCTGTATAGTCAAAGCCATGGTTTTTTCAGTAGTAATGTATAGTTGTGAGAGTTGGACTATAAGGAAAGCTGAGTTCTGCAGAATTAATGCTTTCAAGTTGCGGTGCTAGAGAAGACTTTTGAGAGTTCCTTGGACAGTAAGGAGATCAAATCAGTCAATATTTAAAGAAATTAACTCAGGCTATTCATTGGAAGGTCAAATACTGACACTTAAATACTTTGGCCACATAATGAAAAGACATAACTCATTGGAAAAGACTCTGATGTTGGGAAAGATTGAAGGCAAAAGGAGAAGGGGACAGCAGATGTGAGGTGGATAGATAGTGTCATGGAAGCAATGAAAATGAGCTTGGACAGACTTCAGGATATAGTAGAGGATAGAAGGACCTGGCATGCCATGGTCCATGGGGTCAAGAAAAGCTGAATATGCCTGAACGGGGGAGGGGGTAGGGAGAGGAGGATGAGGAGGAGGAGGACAATAACAACAACAACAGCACAGCCAATCTGGAGAGTAATTTGAAATTATGCTCAAGAGGTCACTAAATCTCGAGTACCTTCTGATTCAGTGATATCTCTACTCGGCCTATCTCCCAGGTATATCAAAGAAAGAGGGAAAGGATCCAGGTATACAAAAATATCTATAGCATCCCTTTTTATAGTGGCAAAGAACTGGATACCAAGTGAGTGCTTAACAATCAAGGGAATGGCTGAACAAATTATGGTATATGAATATAATGAAATACTATTGTGCTCTAAGAAATGATAACAAGAATGCATTCAGAGAAACCTGGGAAGACTTATTACACACTGATAAAAAGTGAAGTGAGAAAAATCTGGAGAACCATTTCTAAAACAACAACATTGTAAAGATAAGCAATTTTAATAGATTTAAGAATTCTTTTTGTTTTGTTTTGGTGAGGCAATTGGGGTTAAGTGACTTGCCCAGGGTCATACAGCTAGTGTGTATCGTCTGTCTTGATTCTGGATTTGAACTCAGGTCCTCCTGACTCGAGGGCTGATGCTCCATCCACTGCACCACCTAGCTGCCCTGATCTTTTATTTTTTTGGTGAGGCAATTGGGGCTAAGTGACTTGCCTAGGGTCACGTAGCTAGTGTCAAGTGTCTGAGGCCGCATTTGAACTCGGGTCCTCCTAACTCCAGGGCTGGTGCTCTATGCACTGTGCCAGCTAGCTGTGCCCAATTTAAGAACTCTGATCAATGCAGTGACCAATAAAAATTTCAGAAGACTGATGATGAACTGTGTTACCCATCTCCAAACAGAGAGGTGATAGACTCAATAGAATAATACATAGATTTATATACAGATGCATATGTATGAATACATGCAGACTACGAATAAGAACAGATTTTTGGACATGGGCAAAATAGGCATTTGTTTTGCTTGACTATGAATATTTGTTATGAATTTTTTTTTCTTTTCCCCAGTGTGGGGGTGGGAGAGAGAGAAAATAAATGTTTGACAGAAAAGTAAAATTTTAAAATTGCTCTGAAATCACTGTATTAAAATAGATCTTTCTTGTAAATTTTTCTTTTATATTTCTACTGAGTTAAAGACATCTGAAGCATTTCTCTGAGGAAGGTGGGCCTGGAGTCAGGAAGACCTGAGTTCTCATCCAGCCTCGGAGACTTCTTAGCTATGTGACCCTGGGCAAGCCACTTACCCACTGCCTGACAAAAGGTTCCACCGAATCCACTAGAGAAGGAAATGGCAAACCGTTGAAGTAACCTTGCCAAGAAAACCCCACGGACTGCTGTCGTCTATGAGGGTCATAAAGGGTCACTAAACAACAAAAGCATTTCCATTATTACTGGTCTTCCTGTCTTCATTACTGTGTCTTCATCACATTTACCTCTTTCTGATCTTCCCTCAATGTGTAATCTTCACAATCTTTCATGACTAAGTGTCTAATTTTAAGATCATAGATATAGCTGGAAGAGACCTTAAAAACCACTGAGTCAAATCTTCTTGTTTTACAGATGAGGAAACTGAGGTTTAGAGAGCAGTGATTTCCCCAGGGTCAGCAAGCTTTTCAGATGGGGTCTGAACTCAGATCTTCCTGAATCCACGTAAAATGCCTTATTCACTATATCACATCAGATATTTTTGGGGAAATAGTACAAACTGTATTTGAATCACTAGTGTATATTAACTCATTTGAACCTCACAACAATGTTATAATGTTGTCAGGACAGGGATCATTACTGTAGTTTTATAGATGAGGTAAAAGAGGCCCAGAGAAGTAAGGTGACTTCTCCAAGGTTGCAATTTGTAAATAATAGATTCAGAGCTGGAACTCAGAGCTCCAAAGTCATGGTCCAGGGCTCTTTCCACTGAACAACATTGGCTTTGAAGTGCTCACTTTTGCTTTGTTTTTAAGAACCCAAATGTCATCTTCCCTCAACACTTACCAAACAGTCTCCACGTACACAAAGGCTGTAAGGATCCTTATAGGAGCAATGGGTCCCATCATGTACCATTCGCTTCATGGATACCACTTCTCCGGTTTCTTTTGATTGGCAGTAGAGATGGCATCTTTCCTTGGCTGCAGGATAAAACGGCAGATTTCATTTGCTTTACAAACTATTTACTGATAAGGTTTACACGTACTCCTTTTGGGCTTGATATGTCACATGGCTAATCATGCAGGACCATTGGCATGTCATTTCATCACATCGATGGGAATTAGACAGGATAGGGAAACAAGAAAAAAGGCATAGAGGATGGAGAGGGAAGGGATGGGGAGATATTGGAAGGGGCACTGGTTACTTATGGCTGAATTTAAAACTGACTGTGAGATTTAGGAGTTGCTAATTTAAACTTCACCAATACTTCAACGGTGAGCTCAGGGGCTATCTCCTTCCTAAAACATTCCCTGGCCCCCCTTTCCTCTGAACCTTTTATGGTACTCATGTCTTGCCTTGTAAAGTGGATATTTATGCCCATGTCTTATTTGTGCTAGGCAGTGAGCTCTGTCAGGGTACCTTTCCCCAACTTTACTATCTGAGAATCACCCGGGCTTAAAATCTCTGGGACAACTTGCATTCCTGTCTCTTCCTAACCCAGTGCACTAAATTAGTTACCAAGTTTTGTTGACTCTGCCTCTACAATATCTCAAATACATCTCATAATGCTAAAACTCCTAGTCTCGGCCCTCATCACCTCTAGCCTAGATGATTTTAATAGCCTCTTATATGACCTCCCTGTATCCAATCTCCTCTCTCCAATCAATCTTTCACACAGCTGTCCAAATAATCTTCCTAATGCACAGGATTGACCATACACTCCCCTGCCCGAAAATCACTTCAATGGCTCCCTACTGCCAGCATGAAAAATTATCTACTCTTTAGCTTGGCCTTTAAGGCCTTCTACAATCAAGTTCCAACACTCCTTTGTTGCTTTATTTCAAATTGCCCTTCTTTAAGCACTCTACTTTGCAGCAAACCTGAAGGATGAGCCCTCTGAATTCACACAGTTTGGAAGCTTCATGAGGACAACAACTACTCCAGACTTGCCATTTTATGCTTAATACAGTAGGCCCTTAATGCTTATTGGACTGAACTAATTCATCTTTGTCCCCCCGTGGCTCCTTGCACAGGGTCCTGGACACAACAGGAGCTCAAGAAAGGTTGGGGGATTATAGAATCATAGATTTAGAAGCAATCCAACTCTTCAATTGTGTAGATGAGAAAACTAAGGCTCAGGGAGGGGGATATATTGACATTTATAAGGTAATATAGTAAGTAGCAGAGCTGGGACTAGAATCTAGGCCTTCTAATTTCAAATCAGTGATCTTTCCACTGCACCTCGTTAGGTGAATGAATGATTTTAATTAGTATGCCTGAGCTTTTGTGTTCAGATGATGGCCTTTTCTTTTCAAGGCATAGAATTTTATCCTAAAACACGTCATGGAGAATTAATAATGGGTTGCCAATACCACCTCAGGCCCAAATTTTCACCCACAGAGGAAGATTAATTTTGAGGATGGAAAAATAATTACAACAAGCTGTACACAGTTAATATCCTGCTGCTAATGTCTATTTATTTATAGATGCCTGGCTAGTCCTGAGATATGGAATAGGAAATACAGACAGGGGGTGACCCATTTAAAAGCACCCCCATTGAGCAGACTGTGGCCCTAAGTGGAGTAGTGTCATTGGCCCTCCCTGGGGATTTCAAACTATGCCAGTGCAGGAACAGAGTCAAAAGACATGGAAAGCTCTGAGTGAACTGATTTCTTATCATCACCCAATTTCCAGAAAACCTTCCTTAGTTCTCCAAAAGGTACATGACCCATATAAGGCATCCTGCTGACTCTTCCAAAGCCAGGAACAACTTTTTCCCATGATTTGGATCTAAGATAGGTTCAAAGCAAGCAGAAGTCCCACCAACTATCCTCCCTCCCCTCAAGCACAGGGGACCTTCTCCGGAGGCATTCTTGCTCATTTGGCTTATTTATGGGGTCAACAAAAATTTTATGGTCATATAAGCTTCCATAGCAGTCCAAGTCTCCCTGTCTAAGACTCTGATTCAAACATTCTCTAGTCTTTTTTCCCAATATTGTGTAAAGTTCTTTCTCTTTGGGGTGAGCCTGGGTTATTACAGTTCCCACAAAGTTATGGTAGTTGCTACCAAGCTAGAATTTGACTGAGGACCAGGCAATGTCTGTTATTTGAGAATCAGCTTAAGGTGCTAGAGGCTCCACCAGGGTGCTGACCGTGGTACTGACTGAGGTGCTGAACAGAATGCAGGGAGTGATTTTGTTTTTTCAGTTTTGTGAGATTCTGCAACTTGCAAAAATTGTCTACTTTGGTATGGAGGAATTGAAGTCCAGATGCATAATAAGCTCCTCAAAAGACATTTAATGAAATTACAGCACAGAGACAGAAGAGGGCACTCTAAGTGCACCAACAGAGGGGTGTGGTATCAGCTCCAGAGAGAACAAATTTGGAAGGTTTTTTCCCTTAGCCAGGGCCTTGGGTAGGCCTATCCCTAAGTGATGTGATGATTGGGCATTAACTACTAATGGAAAAAAAGGGGTGGAAGGTGGACAATCCTCAGGATGTGGGTTGTTTAGGATGAGGGCTTGTTTTCTATCACACTTCAATAAAGCAAAATGTTGTTCACCAAAAGTAAAGCAAAACAGGAAGTTTAATGATTGGCATAAGTCAGTTCTACTCTATTTAATAAATGAAGTATCTTGTTCCAATTTGAATAGAAAAGTGTTGAGGTCCTTTGTCACCAACCCTGGTGAATTGCATGTAATTCCTGTCCTGGGTTGGGCTGGATGTTAAACAGAGGCTGGACCAGATTTGCCAATTTGGGTTCACCTACCAAAAAGAAAGTCAGTTTTCAGCTCTCCCATGATCTTCTTAGTAACGACCTTCTTTTTCAGGCCTCACAGAGCATGTTGTTTTGTACCTTTCTGATATATTTATCATGTAATATTATATATTACAGATATTTGTATATGTTTCTTATTTCCCTACTTAGAATATAAAGCCCATAAAGGCAAGGACTGTATCTTATTTAAACTTTTACACCTCTCATCTCCCATCACAAAGTGGTACCCTGTTAAGTGGGTGCTTCATCAGTGTTGGTGGTTGTTGCTGTTGCTAGCTCAGAGGTCACTACGCTTGGTAGAATATGGGAAAGACTTGTGCAGCTGGTGGCACTGTGGATAGAACACTGGCCCTAGAGTCAGGAAGACCTGAATTAAAATCCAGCTTCAGACACTTACTAGCTGTGTGACCCTGGGCAAGTCACTTAACTAACTGTTTGCCTCAATTTCAAACTTAATTGTAAAGTGGGGATAATAATAGCATCTACTTCACAGGGTTGTTGGGAGGATCAAATGAAACGATATTTGTAAAATGCACTCTGGTCACTGTCTGGCACATAGCAGGTATTATATAAATGCTTATTCCCTTCCTTTTCCCTTTTCCTTTTAATGTGGAAACACCTGTGAACATGGACCTAGTTCTTATTCTCATGTTTATTTCCCATATTTCATTAGAAGTAGCCATGGCTGCTGAAGGGAATGAAGACTTTGCTGGCTATGATTCATTAAAGACAGCAAGCAAAGCTGATACAGACTGTAAGTAATGAGTTATTATGTACTTGGTTATGGGTTACTAGTTTCTCTATGTTGAAACCAATGAATGTTCCCAGTATTCAGGTGCTCACTGAACCAGGAGCAATTATAACTGGTATCTGTAAACATGAGAATATGGCTAATAATAGCCCTTAAACCACCTCATCTACAAGAGGCCCAGTGAAGTAGAAAGAACTCTAATCTGCTAACCATATTAACTTAATCTCTCTTCCCTACACCCAGTGAAAAAAATATCAGGAAAAGGAGGTATCATGTCAGCCTCTTTTGCAGTCTGTCTGCAACTGGTTTAGAGAAGGCTTTTCAGGACACCGTAGATCACAGTAGCTGCCACATCTGTAAAACCAATTCCAAGTCACTGAGAGAGCTGAGAAGCCTCCTGGGCCCAGAGCTGGCTTCACTGAACAAGGATAGTATCCAGAAAGTGGGAGGTTGTGGGTCCCCTGCTCTGTGTCCTGGTCAGGCCACATCTAGAGCATGGCCTCTACTTCTGGGTACCATATTACAAGGGAGACACAGATGAGCTAAAGCAGGGCAAGAGGTGATTAGCTTGGAAATGAATGATACAGGAGGATTGATGGAAGGAATTCTGTGTGTTTGTGGGTCAGGAGGGAGTAACATTTAACCTGCAGAAGAGAAGAATTAAGGGCATGATAGCTGAAGGGCTTTCATGGAGACTTACTCTCTTTGGTCCCAGATGGAAGAACTAGAAGCTGCAGAGAAGCAAACTGAGGCTCATTGTAAGGGCAGAACTTCCTAATGCTCAGAACTGGTCAATGTAGGAATGAGTTGCCATTGTGGGAACCAATGGGCTCCCTGTCCCGGGATGTTTGCCATTAGAGAGGCTGAAGTCAGGGAAATTCTTGAGGGATTTTCTCCTTAGGGTGTGAGGTGGATTAAGTGGACTCAGAGGCCCCTTCTAACTCTGAGATTCTGAGATATCTGCCTGTGGGCTTTGGGCTCCTTATAGGAGAGGCACCAGAAGAATGGAGCCCGTCTTCACAGCAGGCCAGGCCAGGCTGGTAAATGGTGCAGGTTGTCAGTGTAAGCTCAGCCACAAGATGGTGCACTGGGGTTTTCATCAGTGAGCTCCAGCTCATTGCAGTGAAGTTCAACCTGTAGGAGCGTTTGTAGCCAGTGTAAGCCCTCTCAGACCTCTTCTTCATCACTCAGCCTTTATCTCCATTTAGAGGCCAGGCTTCCTTAAATCTCCATGAAACCCAGCTCCCATTCCAAGACCACGAAGATCCACTGAGTCCTCATGGACATCAGACTGGACTCCTGGAGAACCTGACCCAGATGTTTTGATGTCCCTCCTGGTTAGAGAATGTGTATTTTTTTTTTTTGGTGTGGGGAGGTGTGTAGAAGGTCTCCTGCAGGGGCAAGTCTCTGTTTTTTCTTTCCCTTGAATCCAAAACCATGACCCTATTCTTAAAGCAGCAGCTTCTGGCTAGACTTAAATATTCTTTACTAATTCCCCTGTTGCAGTATCTGGCTTGGCATGCATCAAAGCCCAGGACTAAACAATATGGCAATCAGTTTATTTGGCTGTCCAGGACTGGAGAGGCGATCTTGTTAGAGCCCATTTACGGTATGACTCCATCTGGAAGACTAAGTGGAGAAATGCCCTGTCTTTATAATTCTGAAAGGTTGTGTGATAGGGAAGGGGTTACTTAGTCTTCTTATGCTTGGCCTCAAAGGACCAAAATAAGACCAATGGATAGAAGTTGTGGTAAGGCAGACTTTAACTCAGACTAAGGAGAGACTCTGTAACAATTAGAGCTGTCTTCTTAGAGTAGATTGGTCTGCTTTAATAGACAGTAAGTTCTCCGTTATCAGAAGTATTCAAATACAGGCTAGATGACTACGTGTCAGGGATGACATGCAGGGACTTCTGCTCAGGTATGGGCTGGACCAGGTGATCTTTGAGAGCCATTTCAACTCCAACTCCAAGATAACAGGATTCTACAATTCTAAGAGATTTTGCTGGATTCTTCAAATTGAGCCACACCCGGTGTTTATGCTGAATGCTCCTCCCCACTGGGGGCCTTTGTTAGAGCTATGCTAACACCAGTAAGTGTCTCCCGACCATCATGTTCCATGGGAAGATATGTGGACTGCAAGGTGTTAGGTAGAGATTTGAGAGTGAAGAGAAACCTATCAGCTTTCTCCTCTCAGTAGGGCTGAGTGTAGGAACCAAGGAAGGGAATGAGGAGGGGGGAGATAAGTGGAGGGAGATAGGCCGGCTCAAGGTCAAGACCAAAACGCCAGCCCTGTCATTGACACTGTATACTGTAATGGGCACGTCTGGAATTACAATTGTGGTCTGTCCTTTGTTCTCAAAGAGGACCATGACATCAGGGAGATGATGACGTGATGTGCAATTGACTTTGATTTGAGTGAGGGAGGGAGGGCTAGGCAAAGTCGCCAGCCTCACCTTCTCCTCCAGAGCCATCTGGGTCCAGCAGCCAGATATCTATCAGGATGACTGGAGATGGCCCACGATGCAGTGTGAGACCTTGGCCCTTTTAAGCTAAGGCCTTTTCAAGTTCTTACTTTAAGTGAGGCAATGCCCATTCAGTGAATATAATAGAAGCTAAGGATACCCACCTAGACCATTTTTACCCCGGCTCACTGGAAAACGTACAAAGAGAATCTAATCTAGGTGAATTCCAGCCCATTGTGTTCTACTCAGAGAGACTTGGGTCTAGATTGTCCTAGGTGGGGTACAGTGTGGGAGGGGAAGTTGGGGGGGGGTCTGGATAGAGAGGATTAAGAGTGACATAATCAAAGTCACATTCTCCCAGTCCCTCATTAAAATAGGTCCCACCTTTCATTATAATATTCATTCTCTCATTAATTGTTAACCAATCAAAGTTGATTGCCACCTGTCTGGAACACCCACTCTTCCAAGGGCAAATAAGCATTGAGAGGCCTCCTTGATTCATCTTTAGTTTATGAGAGAAAGCCAAATGACCACCCTTTTATTCATTATTTGCTAGCCATAATTAATAAAATTATTAATTACCCAGAAAAAAAGAAGCTAAGGATACAAAGTAAAGACCTCTTAGGTGAGCTCCATTGCTATACCCACCCCCATTCCCATCCTCCAATCCCTGCCCAGCAGACTCTCTCTAATCTAGACACAGAGAGATCTCATGTGCTCAGGTGTAACCATACTCTCAGATGCTTCATCCAATGATCACTAAGACCTGTTGGTTTTATCTTCTCAACCTCTTGCATCTGAATCCTGTTCCCTACTCCTTATGCCACCCACCCCCTGAGCATAGACTGTCATTACCACTTGCCTGAACTACGGTAAAATCCTCCCAATGACTCCTTGCCTTCTATTCTCTTTCCAGTTCATCCTTCATACTATTGCTGGCTCACTCTTCCCTCAGCAGAGATCTGATTGTGCTTCTTCTCAGATCACTGAACTGTGGCTCCCTCTCGCGTAGTCTCACTCATTTGTGTACTCCTTAGCTTGGCACACATGGCCCTCCATAATTTAGGGCCACTCTACATTTCCAGCCGTATCTCATACTACTTAATTCAGTGCATTCTATATATGCTGCCTAAGCGTGCCCTGTGTTTTTCCTTGCTCATATACTCTTTCCTATCCCTGAAATATTTACTCTCATCCTTTAGCTGCTGAATTCCTGCTAATCCCTTAAAGACCAACTCCATGAAGCCCTTCCAGATGACCTCTGTTGGTAATGGCCTTTCTTTTTAGACTTAACACAGAATTTTGTTTTGTGCCTTTCTAATCCACTTATTCCATAATAGTGTTGTAGCTAGTATGAAATTTCCTGCACAAGGTTTTGATTGGTACTGGACACTTTTGGATGGCTTCTGTATGTTTGGATACCAATCCTGGCAAAGATTGGCTTTGTTCCAAGTCCTTGTTGTCCCAATGACAGCACACTGATGGTGAAGCTCAGGGCCAATTCATATACCTAACCTAACTCTTGGGCTTGGAATTTTTTAAAAAGGGGGCTGCAATGCATTCTAGAGAGCTGGAGACTGCCATACATATACTCAACACCCTGGCAGAAAGCCTGTGCCTTGGGCACTCCAGTTACTCCATATACGATAGGACAAAGCCTGGTATCTTCCCCAATATTTAGCATGCTCTCCTAATAGGTCTTTAATAAATACCAGCTCAATTACATTCAACCTTAAAGTCTAGAAACACACCTGTTTATATCTCCAGCCTATTTTACCTCTTGACATAATGTGACTATCAGCTTACTCTCTGAAGAGTACAAGAACATGTCTCTTTTTTTCGGTTGGTCCCCTGGATGGTTTCTAACATTGCCCTCAGCTCTAACTAGGACCATGGGATCAAGAGAGCAAAGATTTAGGGCTGAAAGGGACATTAGAAGCCATTAAGTCCAACCCCCTCATTTTACATTTGAGAAAACTGAGGCCAAGAGGAGTTAAATGACTTGTCCAAGTCCATACAGCTAGTGTGTGGCAGAGCCAGAATTTGAACATAGGTCCTGTGACTCAAATCATGCATTTTCTATCTGTCAGACCACCTTGATATGACATTCTATGTTCTATGTTGTAAAGTTTCTTTCAGCTCCTCTATTTCGTGTTCTATAGTCCTTTCCCACTCTGACCATTCTACAGTCTAAAGGTCCCTTCTCCCTCAGAGATTCTATGGTGCTTTCTTTGAGCTTTCCTTGGGCTACTCCCCATCCCTTGCCCTCATCCAGGCTCACCCTCCTTGTGCTCATGGGGGTAGCCAGTGGTGCTGGGCATTTCCGTGTTCAAAGTAGAGATCCCATTGACGGCATTGCTCCTCTCGGAAGTCATCCAGGGCATTGGGGCAATCCTGCGTGTTGCATAGCTGGAACTCATAGCTGAGCCCCACACATGAACGGCCTCCATTGGCTGGGCTGTGGGAAGGGAAGAAAAACTGTTGCAACTTACAGAGACAGTGAAAGACAATGGGAGGGGTGGGGACAGGATGAGTAACCCTTAAAACTAGTCACCATGATTTTGTAGCTTTGAAAACTGGCCACTTTCCATTCTTAAGATGTATGAAATTGCTAAAGACTTTGGAGTAAATTTACAATTCACTTAAGCGAGGGATCTTTTTTTTTTTTTGGTGGGGGAGGGGGCAGAGAAGGGGAGGCAGAGCTGGACATGTGATTTCACTGGTTTATAAAAGTTTTGATATAGAAACCTCTTCCACCAATGCAAATCATCAACTTCTCTCTAACTTAAAATTTTAGGGAGTTGCTTCAGGCACTAAATGACTTGCCCATAGTCACACAGATAGTATGTGTCAGAAGCAATCCCTGAACCCCTATCTTCCTGACTCCAATCTCAGCCCTCTATCTGCTGCATCATGCTGCCTCTCATCAGAAGGTGGATTTGGCCACAACATCCATGCAATTGTCACATTACAAAAATACATATGAAGCCTGGTTAGAAAGATCACTTACATACTAGTTGACCTATAATTTGCAAGCTATTCATAGTATTTAATAAGGTAGCAAGGGCTACTCCACCTACCAATTAACAAACAAAAAAGGGGTATTGAGTCCTTTTTCTGCTCAGCAGTAAGTTGAGTTATGCTTAGAAACATGTGGTCTCTGTCTTCACAGAGCTTACAATTTAGTTCAGGAGATGTAACTAACATATCTTTAGTGGAATTCATTTAGGGAATTTTGAACTAGTCTAAAGAGCCATATGGTAATGCTGAATGATAATATTTAGAGCTGGAAGGGGGGTGGTTGTTTAGTCTTTTCAGTTGTGTCCGACTTTGTGAACTCATCTGGGTTTTTCTTGGTAAAGATACTACAGTAGCTTGCCATTTCCTTCTCCAGCTCATTTTACAGTTAAGGAAACTGAGGCAATCAGGGTTAAGTGAATTGCCCAGCTGGCAAATGTCTGAGGCCAGATATGAATTCAGATCTTCCTGACCCCAGGCCTGGCACTCTATCCACTGTGCCATTTAGCTAGATAATAATATTTAGAGCTCAAAGGGCCCTGAGACTTATAAAAAATAGTCCAGAGGTTCTTAACTTTTTTATTATGGACCTCTTAGTCAATCTCCTGAACCCACTGGACCTTTTTACAAAATGTTTTAAAATGCATAAATAAAAATCAATGAAATAATAAAAGAAACCAGTTATATTGAAACAAAAATATAATTTTTTTCCATCTAGGTTTATGAACCCTCTGAAACCCAACCTGGGTTAAGAATCCTTAGTCCAAGTCCCTCATACTACAGAGGAGAGCACTGAGACTCAGAGAGGCTGCCCTAAATCACATGGATTTTGAGGCCACATAGCCTCACTCCCAGTCCAGATTCATTCTAACCTATCATTTTGCTCCCACATATTAGTTCTTTCCTTTTGAAAGAACAAATGCTACAATTTTTTATTTTCACCTCAACACATCAGAAAAACAATCCGAACAACAGCAGTAAGTGGGGGCAGGGGGGCTTGCCTCAGCGGTCTCCAAGATCTCCTTTAGCTCTATGAACTGTATTTTCAGTTCAGGTGACAGTGGTACGTGGAAAAGATAGCACAGATTGTCCAGACTCTAGAAAAGGCTGAGGAGTCATTTCTTGGTCCATGTTATACCTGGAGTGAGGACAGGGTAGGAGGAGGTTCCTTTACACTGATCAAGGGCTTAATGGCCACTAAAATTGAAGGAACCTGATAAGAGGCTCCTAAATCACCTGCATCTTAAAGAACTTTGACCCATCAGCCCCTGCTAGTCAAGCCTGCCTTCCCCTGGCCCAGAAAGGAGAACCCTCTATTCCTTTGCTGTAACCTCTTCCCACTCAAAATCAGTGACTCATTCAGCAAAGTTGAGAGTTAATCATTAAGAGGTATGCCTCGGAACAGAAAAAAGGGCCAGCCTTGGAGCCTTATAACCCGGGTTCAAGTGTGGGCTTTTGCTAACGATACAGCCTTGGCTAAGTCAATTTACCCTTCTCTAACTCGGTTTTCTCATCTGTAAAATGGAGAATGACCGGCAGTGTGGTGTCATAGACAGAGAGCTGGTCTCAAAGTCAAAAAGATGGGTTCAAGTCCTGTCACACATTGGCTGTGTGACCCTGCACAAGTAGGAGTTTCCTGGTGAACTCCTTAAGACTATAAACTGTCCACACTGGATTGAGGGAGTTTTATATACTGATGAAATCACAAGTGAAGAAAATCACCCCCTAAATGAGGATAGTAATACCTGCATGCCCCACCTTGCAGAGGCATCATGAAGAAACTGAAAAGTCCTATCTCAACGTGAAATAATGAGATCTGTATTATTATCATCTTACTTTTGGTACTGGTTTGACCTGTCTTATCTCAACTAGACGGAAAGCTCCTCAAAGGCAGGGATGCATCATGTTAACTCAATTCTTCTCACTTTCCTTGGATATAGTGCCTGCCTAAGGCCATTTACTCTGAGGCTGGTCCATGGAATCTCATTAATGATGAGGACAGTGATAGAGGAAGAGAGATAACTCTGTCAAAGAAGTGTGGTCTAGTGGAAGGGGGATTAATACAGGGCTTCTTAAACTCTTTGCACTCATGACCCCTTCAAGGCTTCTAAACTCAGGAAGTTAAGACAGCTTGGTTCTAATCTTGGCTGTGACGCATGGCATGAACTTAGGCAAATCACCTAAACCTTCTGGGCTTCATTTGTATGTTTTAGGCCTCTCACCTATAAAAGGGAAAAATAACACACCATCTATCCCCCACAGTGCTATTGTAAGAAAAGTGCTTTAGAAACCTTAAAATTCTCTCAAAATGTCAACTACTATTAATAACAGCAGTTCTGACTTAGCTGCTTCTGAAATGATCTTGGAGAAGTCATTTTTCCCTGCCTGGACCTCAATTTCCTTATCTGTAAAATGGAGATATTATCTGTCCTATAAAAGTCATAGAGGTTGTTGTAAGATTAAAATAAAATCTAAGATAGGAGCTATACACAAACATAAAAAGCCTGAGAGGAATATAATCTCATTAGAATCACGATTCTCTGGAGTCTGAATGCAGATCAAAGCATACTTTTTACTTACTTTCTTTCTTTTTGTCTGTGTTTGCTTTCAGAGCACGGCTAATATGGAAATAAGTTTTTGAGCATGCCCCATGCAAGTATGTTAGTTCAAAGCCAACTTACTGTGGGTTGTCACATTGGCGGGTTCTGAATTTCACACCAGTGCCGCAGGTCCTGGAACAGGAGCCAAACTTGCTCCATGCACCCCAATTTCCATCCCGTTTCAAGATATCTGGGGTCAGCCAGATACAATGGCCTTTAAAGCAGTGCTGGAAGAGAATCCAAGACAGAAGCATGAAGACACATGCTAATCTAGTATCTCTTCCTGTTCCCCTTGGAGAGATTCACTCATTCCCAAGATGCTAAGGTTTCAGACACACGGCCTTGGATTCTTGTTGGATATAGTTAGTTTTCCTGTAGAAAATACTGATACATCCTTGTTTCTCATATTTACATAAATGCAATTCTTTGGCTTTAATACATCCTGGTCAGAGAAATATACAATCTTTCTGAAATTCACCTTTCCAATGGATCTTTTCCTCAGACATATCCAAAAGCCGGACATTACAGAGCAGACTCACAGAATGTCAAAGTTAGAAGGATGCTTAGGATATAGAATGTTAAAGATGGAAGAGAGTTATTAGAATATTAGAAGTGGAAGGGACCTTAGCACATATCATATTAATGCTGAAATGGACTACAGAATGTAGAATGTTAGAATTGTAAGAGAATACTGAATATAGAATCTCAAAGCTGGAAGAGACCACAGGATATCAGTGCTCAGATTGACTCATCTTAAAGATAAGGAAACTGAGGCCCAGAAAGGGAAAGAGATTGCCAAAGGACACAAGCTTAAGAAGAGGCAGAACTAGCATCTGAACATGATTCTGAGAACAAATCCACTGTCCTTCTACTACTGTAAGTACAGTAAGATTGACAGGATGCTGGACTTTGGAAACCTGTTCTTCTCCATGGGGCCTATCAAAGAGATATCTGTTTTGGTCTTATTGCCTGGCTGGGAAATCTGCCACCTGCACACATATATGTGTAAGTACACACAGATGACCAGGAAGAGTGTAATCGTTCATTCATTTTTCGTAACATGTAAGTTAAAAACAAGTTTAACTTTGTACAATGAGTTTCAACAGCCAAAACCTTATCAGGTCCTATGTAAGCCAAGAATACAACTGAATGCATGGTACTAGCCAGCAAAAAAGTTACGAATCATATGATGCAATTGTTGCCTTTTGCAGAGAGATTTGTTGTTTGGGAAATAATTGAGCAAGGGTCACTCATCCTGGGAACTGCTGAAGGAACCAGTTACTAAGTTGAAGCTGGGAGGGAGAAAGGCCAGAGCCTCCCCACAAGGCTTTGCCTAATGGTAATTGAGCTAAGCAGGTGAACTGGACAGGAACTCACTTCTCTGGCAACTGATACAATACAGTCATAGGTGATAAAGAAAGTCACTAGGTAATGAGAGCTAGCGAAGGAATGGCCTAAATCCAATATAAGAAAAAGCTTGATAGGAAGAAATATGCAAAGCTAGGTCCAAGTGAGACAGAAACAGGAGGTATCTACATGGGGGGAGAGGTGTAATGAACTGCTCCAGGCTAGGCTGGGAGTTGAAATTGACAAAGCAAGAATGCCGTTCTCAAAGCATCTTCTTTGACAAACCTAACAGGCCAGTCTTCACCAATACAGACATATTGCCACGGTCTAAAAGGGGCCCTTGTTCCTGAGGGCTCTGTATTACTTCTTGTCCTATTTGGGCTAAGTAATAGGGGTGGTGGTGATAGTAGAGATAACTATAAGACTAATTCTGGATGAAGCCTATAAAACTGGTAAGATTCAAGAAAAAAATCAAAAGGCCCTTTGTGGGTGATATCCATACAAACTTAGCCCACAATATGTCAACAAAGAAGCCCTGAATAAATAGCCAGGTCATATGGATCTATTTGTAGAAAGAGAAGGGTTTGTAATGGCAATTCAGGACCAAATGCCACCAGAAATTACAGAAAGGCTATCCTTAAGAAGCTTGGACCTAGTCATAATGTAGATTATATAAAGGAATAGTAGAAATTACGTGACAGATCAATGTAGGGTGAAAAAAATTAATATCTCCTGAATATCAGGCAAGATATGACCTGATGGCTAGAATTAAAAATCATCTGCTTGCTGTCTTTCATGGACTGACAGATGGCAAATCCCAAAAGGCCTCAAAATATCCAGAAGTCAGGGCAGCTAGGTGGCACAGTGCATAGAGCACCAGCCCTGAAGTCAGGAGGACCTGAGTTCAAATCTGGCCTCAGACACATAACACTCCCTAGCTGTGTGACTCTGGGCAAGTCACTTAACCCCAATTGCCCCATGAAAAAAATATCCAGAAGACCTCAACGAATCAACTCTTCTAGAACTGGACCAAACTGCTATGCATGATTACTAGGACATAAAAATGATTCCTAAGAACAATGTTTTCAGTAGATGGGACAGTGCCAAATAGTTACAATATCCAAGCTAACAGGGAAAAAAAGGCTTTTGAAATATAGAGACCTAACAGAGGAGATTTAAACTATGTGGGAATAGGATGAGATGCATATACATCATCCTTGTTGTCCTGCAGCTATGCTGAGGGTGCTTTCAGTGAACCTACAAAAGATGAGTTTACATCTTAATAATTTTACTTAATTCAAGAAACAGTTATTTTATTCAATTGTGCAAAGGTCCATAGAATATTAAATTTAAGATAATCATAGCAGGAGCACAACTTGTCTAAGCATCATTTCTCTATTTATTAGAGATACTGGTCTACAGTTTTTCTTTTCCTCTGTTTTGATATTTTCCTCATTTATGTATCAAAACCATGCTTGTGTCATACAAGGAATTTGGTAGAATCCTTCCTTTTCTTATTTTTCAAACATTTTACATAATATTGGAATTAATTATTCTTTAAATGTTTGGTAGAATTTGCTGGTAAGTTCATCTAGTCCTTGTTTTTTTTTTTTCCTTTGGGAGTTCATTTATGGCTTATTCAATTTCTTTTTCTTCGACAGAGTTATTTAAATACTCCATTTCTTCTTCTGATCATTTGGGAATATGTATTTTTGTTGATATCCATTTCATTTAAATTGTCAGTTTTATTGACATAAGTTGGGTAAAATAGCTCCTAAAATATGCATATAAATATATAAAATAGCTTTATTTCTTCTTCATGCATTGTGAATTTGGCTTATATATTGTTTGTGGAAGGAATAAACATATAGTACGGGATATACTGTATGTAGTATTTATTGAAATGCTCTTTGAATGCAGGAAAATTAAAAACCACTTCAATAAATATTGGATACAGATGAACACCTGTAACAAGAGTGAAGCAGGTGAATTAGGTCAGGCACTTTTCTCAGGTGCACAAGGGAGAAGGTCAGAGGAAAAGATAAAAAATATGCATCTACTATTTCAAGCCATGCTATCAAGATGGAGAACAGGACACAATTTGTTATACTCACCATGGACCCACAATTAGTTTAAACTAGATGGTCATGTTCTTGGGCTCTGACTTTTCAAGTTCACAGCCACCCTCCAGAATGCATTAATATATACTAGGTAAGAAACCAAGGCTTTGTCAATCTAAGCACATTCTCACTTATACAAAAAGTACCTTCCTCTAGAACAGGGTTTTTTTTGTCCTAATGATTTTGTGAAAGGTTAGAAAATATGAAACTGCAAGAGCTCCTGGAGTGATAAATTATCCTGCATATCCCCTATCTATTAAAACTTTGGAAACGGCATAAATTTCATGGTCAGACAAATTTCCCATGTGACCTAGTTCTTATTGTCCAGGGGACTTTAAGAGGAAAAAAAAGTTCAAACCATTTGTGTTTCCTAATTCTAAGCTAAAGCTCTATTCTGATTCCCTGTTGTGGTACGAAGGGGACCCTAAGTTCTCAAAGTTTATACCAGCTGAACACACAAGCTCTGAAAAGTCCTACCAAGCTGGAAAGGCTTTGGATAAGAGCTTGGAAACGGACTGGAGGTATGTTACATGACGACCAGATTAGTTACGTGTAGAAAGGCTCACCACTAGAACATGGTTGGCCCCAGTTATAAATATTTGTAGCCACTGCAATTCATAAAGAATAAGAGACAGTAAGGTATAATGGATAAAGCCAGGGCTTTGAAATCAGAGAACTAGGGTTCAATTCCTAGCTCTGACTTTGAGCAAGTCATTTAGCCTCTTGGGGCCCAAGTTTCCTTCTCCATAAAATGAAGGAGTTGTAGTAGATGGCCTCTAAGGTTTCTTGCAAGTCTCTATAATCTTAGGATGACTAAGGTGTGGTGGGGATGTGGTTTGCATTGGTGGCAAGATCACATAACTAATAAGTGCTGGAGCCTGCAAACATTATGCTGTCCATCATCACCAATTTCTCATCTCTAGTGATTCAGTTCCCTGCTGGCCAATCAGAAGAAGAGAGAATGGTTTACTTGTGCTCTGCTTCGGAGAAGCCAAGCAGCCAACTTACCTATGGAGCCTGTTGCTATATATTCCACCTGTGGTTTGACACTGTGGGGAATAAGGCATAGCCATGCCTTCACCTCAAGGAGCTTATAGCTAATTGGGATTCCTCTCACACAAAGAACTAAAAGCAAGAAAAGACAGTCAACTACAGGCATTCATGCAAGAGGCTGGGGAAGAGAAGGGGAAGGTTTCAAGAAGAAAATGAGTCTTGAATGAATAATGAAAAAGCATTTATTAAGCACCTGATATGTGCTAGGTACTGTGTACAAGTACCGGCGATACAAATATAAAAATGAGAATCCCTGCCCTTCAGGAGCTTATATTCTAATAGGAAAAGACAACACATATAGGGGAGTGGTGGTCAGGAAAAGGCAGTTTTGGTCTGGGGATTCATAAGGATTTGGAGTGGAGCCATAGGACAGTTGATCGTCATGCCCTTTCCAGAAGCAATGGTAGCAACAATGTCATTATTGTTCCCAGAACAAGAGACTGGAAACAGGTGGGGGAGAGAAAGAAGGGGTGCATATGGCAGCAAGGCAGATGATAAGCTGTCTAGGGTAGATGGCTTTATTGGATATGAAACCTAGTTTGGGGTTACTAGAAATAGGGCTCAGGTGAGCTTACACTTGCTCACTCACTAGTCAGGGGGACTCAGTCCCAAAAAGAGGTTCTGAAGCTGAAGGAATTAACTGCCCCAGAGAGGTAGAGTATAATATCTGATGGTCCAGTTTGAGGATGCTGTTCCAAGTGGGAAAGGGAGGTATCAGCAGGGCAGATAGGAAGACATCCATGGGAAGATGGCTGAATGGGATAGAATGTAAGGCTGGTCTTAAGGGATGGTCGAGGTTTGGATAGTGAGAGGAGTGGCGTCAGTGCATTCAAAGTGAGAGGAAAAAATGTGATCCAAAGCAGAGAGATAGGAATGAGCATCATGCCTTGGGGGGAAGTGAGGGAATTGGCCTGACTGGGTAGTTACTTAGATGGTAGGTATTGAGGAACTATGAACAGTCAAATTGGGGAGATGGTGTGAGACTTTGAATGCCATGCTAAATGGTTTGGACAGCGGAGTTTTCATAGATGCTTCCTTTGTTTAAAAAAAAAAGGACATTATGAAAGTGTTTTAGGAAATTCTGTCTGGTGGTAGGGTATATTTCTGAGCCCACTAGTTTGCCCTTCCATGAGTATGAGTGAAGAGGTCTTGCCTGACCCTGGCTCACAGGGAAGGTGGTTGTCATGGGTACTTGCCACATCTTATGATAAATGGAATTGAAGAGAAAAAAGCAAAAGAGAAACTGTTTACTCAGAATAGCCATTTGTTTCTACTTCAGGGGAGAAAGAAGGAAATTCAAGAGTCCAGGGATCAGAGCGTCACTGCACTCTCTAGCAAGATGAGAGTTACAATAATGAGGGCAACGGGCAGAAGAGAATGTAGCCAGATCTTGGTGCTCTGTGCTGATGGAGGAAGCGGAGATACGGATGATCTGGCACATTTGTAGTTAGCTTGCAGGGGTATCCTTTGGACCTCTCCTTGAGTGGTTTTGGCTATAACTTTGACACTGAGAATTCACCAGAATAAACTGGCTCAAGAATGACAGGTGAGTCATTAGCTGTGCAGTCATGAGCAGGTCACACCACCTCTGGGGACTTCAGTTTTGTTATACGAAAAAGGGAGATAATAACCCTACACTGGGTTGTAATGAGGCTCAGAGCACACAACAGCCTTGCAAACCATAAATACTTCCCATAACACTGTATGCATGGGAAGTATTATTATTTTGTTTATTTATCTTTCTATTCAAGCCTATCTTTCTATTTTACTATTCACGTGTTAGTCTTCTTCTGCTTCTCTTACTTACTCATCTGCACTCATATACAGTTCACACTAGATAGACTCAAGAAGGAGAAAAAGATAAAGCAAGTCTCATGAATATTTAGTTATTTGTAATGGATTATGTCTGTGTTGCCTCAGTTTCCGCATGTAAAAATGAACTGGCGAAGGAGATGGCAAACCACTCCAGTATCTTTACCAAGAAAACTCCAAATGGGGTCACAGAGAATCAGACGTGAATGAAATGAATACAGATCTACTGGGATGAACACTAGGGGAAGGGTAAGATTAACACATGAATGGCAGATTTTTTACAAAAAAGAATAAATGATAAGGATAGGATTGAAGAAAAGTAACAGAACACATCCTCATCCATTATCTCCTTTGAGCCTCATGTCAACTCAGTGAGGACCACAGGGCAAGAATTAATACCCCTGTTTTACAGAGGAGGAGATCGAGGCTTAGGGGTGAAGTAGTTTGCCCAAAGTCAAACAGCCAGTAGGTATCAGAGAGGAAATTCAAAATCGGATCTTCTGACTCTAACTGGGATCTTTCCCCTACATCACACTACCTGCATACCCCTTAACTCCTGCTAGAAATGAAGGGCAAACACCGTCCTCCCTCCTCCTGGCAAGCCTATACTCTGGGTGTCTATAGCTCTAAGGCCCCTCTTTGTGCCTTTGTGTTCTTTCCATGCTCTTTGTGAGTGGTGAAAACCTGCCCTGCCTCAGAGATGACAGGGAGCATTGTGCGTATTAGGTACGAGATGCTCTCCCTGTGGGTGCTCAGCCTGTGTACTCACCTTCCCCGGAGCGCACATGGTCCCATCCAGAGGTGGCCCCTTCTTGGTTTTACAGAAATAGGGGTTGTCAGGGTGGCTGCACCACAGCTGCTTGCAAGGATCAAAGGTCCGGAACTGGAAGAGGAGCAAGCTCAGAGAATCACAGAATGTTAAATCTAGAAGGGGCCTCAGAATATAGAACCTTAGAGCTGGGAAAGACTTCAGGATCATCTAGTCTACTGTTCTCATTTTCCAGAGCAAGAAACCGAAGTCTTCACAAGTTAAATGATTAGTCCTGGATCATGCAGCTAGTAAGCAGGAAAGCTGGGATTTAAACCCAGGTCTTGTCTCTCAAGTCTAAAAACACATGGATTTGAGGGAAGGCAAAGTAAAGCATATGACTCACTAAAGAGTCACACCCAGAGGCCAGGACAGGAAGAGTAAATGACCCTCTGCAAAGACCCTTAGATGGCGAGGAAACGTCTGAACCACTGCCCTCCATTGCTACAAACTTCTATTTCTATATCGCTTTACAGTTTACAAAGAATCCTGTGAGGAAACAGGTAGAGTCACTGGTGGTGCAGGTTTATTAGAGCTGGTAGCGAAATTTTTATTATTAGCATTTACACCTTGGAAGTCAGCACATGCTACAGATCAGGACTTGGCTTATTGTTTTGTTGGTTGTCAAGATTTAAGAAAGTGATGGAGGAAATATCAATAATGCAAATTAGGTCATACAGCTAGTCATCATCAGAGATTCCAATCCAGGTCTCCTGGCTAAGTCCAATGCTCTTTTCACCATCCCATACTGCTTTTTAATTTGGGGTGAATAATTTTGTTCTTTCTATAGAAAAGATAATGCTACCCACCATGGAGCTTTAACAGGAGTGGCAATCCCTTTTCCTGCTCCTGTCAAGCCCTCTAGTGGTTCAAGATACTCTATGAGACACAGCTGTGATGAGGAGAGCTGTCTGTGGCCATGGAACGGACAGAAACTTTCTGGCTGATGCCAAGACATTAGTCTTATTAGCATCATGCTCCAACCAGTGAGGCTAACCAGGAATGGACAACAGGGCCAAAGAAAGCTGTGTTTGGAATCAAAGCTGAGAGCTGGAAACCTATAACGCAGTCCAATCCAATCCAATGCGATCTGATCCAGTGTATTTATTGAGCGAATGAAACGTCAGAGTCCCAGAGCAAGGGTCTCAGACTGAGAAAATCTTGCTTTTATTCTACACAGGTGGCCCAAACTCCTTAGCTCTTCCCCCCAGCCCCTACAATATGGGTTGGTGGACTCTGCGAAGTCCATGCTAGAAGATGAGAACCTAGGAAGAGGATGCAGACAAAGAGAGCAATGTCGGTTACTGCCATGTAAAAAGTGACATATACTTTAAAAAACCCCACCAACTATACATGGTAGATTCATAGTTTCATATGCAGTTCTTGCCTTCTGACCCTCCTATATAGAAATATTCCCACTGGTCAGCGATGGTCATGTCCAAAAAAATATATATGCATATATTTTAAAAATATGTATGTACATACATATGTTATATATGTATATACAAGTACACATACATGTGTTAAAAATATGTGTGTGTGTGTATATATATGAATGCATTTTAAATAAATAAATATATGTACATATATTTAAAAAAAGATGAGGACCCCAAATCCCTCTGGCTCTCACCGGCTATCTGCCCATGGCTGTTGTGTCCTCCCAGTGAAACTGGCTACTTTACTGAAAAATTTTTCCCTCCTCCCAGACTTTCCCCACAAACCCTTACTGGAAATAATAATAGGGAAAGAATGAAAGAAATTGAGCCAGTCACGAAGTTCTTAAGATTAATAAGATTTAGAGCTGAGAGGAACCTTAGCTATTAATTAATCGACTCTCCCCCCTGCCATTTTACTAATCAGTTCTACCAGAGGTCCCACAGTAAACAGACAAGTAGGGATCAGCTCTGGAATTAGGATGGGGCCAAGGATGACTGGAGGGAGCTTCCATCACTTTAACACAGTAGAACTAACAGTTACCACCTATTTAGCCAGAATAATTAGTTAAGATAGAAAGTTCTCAGATGGCACACTTTTCTCCTGGGCTTTGTCATCCAAGGGAGCTCCTCTTCAACCTCATGGGCCCAGCACCAAACATAGGGGTGCCCCCAGGTAGTCATAAAGTGTTTATAAAGTGCCTACTAAAGAGACAAAAGACAGTTTCTGCCCTTGAGGAATTCAGAATCTACAGGAGGAGACAGCATGCAAATAACTGTGTACAAACAAATTATATACAGGGTAAACAGGATAATAAATAAACCTGACATGTTGTGACTGTTCCAGTGGCAACAATTTTTAGTTAGCAAAAATCTCATCTCACTGGGATTCAAACTTGGGTCCTCTGACCCCATTATCTAGCACTCTTTCTACTTAAGGGAAGACTGCTCACATGTGTCCAGGGGTTGCTGGCAGCCTGACCTGGGACTCAGTGGACCTGTCAATATCCCTCCCAGAAATAACAGCCCAAGAGATGGCAGGCTGAGGGTGAGGTGCAGTGATGGGGAGAGAGAGAGGAGGAGAACACCTCTGGCCCCAGAGCTGTGCCTCCCAAACATAACAAAACATGGCAAAGTTACTATTATTTTTTCTCCTCATCTCCTCAGCAATTGGCTAAAAGGTCACTCTCACCACCTGACACTGCCCTGAGGTTACTGGATGCCAGAATGACCCATGGCCACAGCCACTTCCAGGCCCCTGGGGAAGAAGCGATGGAAAAGACTGACTTTACTCACCGCCGTGCACATCATATAGCCAAGTCCGAAATCAAAGCGACACTGCTCGTTCATGGAGTAGTGAATTCCCGGCAGCTGGGGCAGAGCCGGCCAGTCCTGTTCAAAGGGGTCGTCTCGGAGGCAGTCGTAGGAGCTGCAACAGGCACACACACAAACATGACAGGAACAGATGGACTTGCGGTTTCCCTAAAGGCTGAGTCCAAGCCAAAACGGAGGGCCTGCCTGCTAGGAAGCTGCGGCACCAGATGGGCTGAGCGTAGCCCCAGGCAGACTCCCCGGGCATCTGCCCCCAGCCAGCCTGCAGGTGCACACTCACTCTGGGCTTCCTGGTGTACAATCTGGGCGGGGCTCTCAGGGGGGGAATGGCCTGATGTCCCAGGTTCCCACTTGGACAGGGATCAGCAATGGGCCCACCCCAGATCAGGCTGACGAGAAAGAAAAAACACGTAATTCATTTTCCAGGTTAGGTATTCCTTCGCTTACTCCTTCCCCTCCCTCCACCCCCACCCTTTTGTCCTTCAGCCTGAACTTTGGGAGAAATAGCCAAGGTGGCCAGGAACAGAGCAGGGTTACTGAGAGTACAACAAAAGCCCTTTTCAGGGGAAGCACACGCTTCCCCAAACCAAGGGGGACCCCTACTGGGGCCTCCCTTCTGCTTGCTGTCCTTACAAAATCTCAAGATTTCCTTTCCATGCCTCCTTTTCATTTGGAACTTCCTTAGGAATATCACATTACAGCAGTCAGAGTGAGGCGGCAACTCTAATCCAGCAGTCACTTGGCCCAGCTTGAATAATGTCAGGAAACAAAAAATCTGGGAAACTGTTTTAATACTTAGGCCTGCAGCACCACGGTCTTTAAGCTTGGGAGTGACTAAGGCCCTCAGTCTGTAGAAGGGAGGGAGAACGCTCTGAGGGATCTTGTCTGAGATTGAGGGATCTGGGACTGCCATGCCTGCTGTGGTCCCATTGCTACATCTAGGAGCAAGGGGGCTCCAGGCCTTGTGACAGGAACCATTAGGATCAAAACCAAGTCTGCAGCGGACCTGGCCAAGTGAAAATCACATCTTGCTAGAAAGATCATTCCTTTGCCTCCCTACCCTATAATTTTCAGGGGTAGGAGAGAAAATTTTAGGTATCTGCCTTCATCTGTCCAACTCATGTGATCTGTAGAAAATGCATCATCCTTAGACATTCATGGTGGCAATGGGGATGCCTTGAATGTACACTTGATAAACAGGACACAATGTGCTAGGAGCTTTTACTCATCACATATCTGTGAAATGTTTCCTTGCCAGGATTCTACAATGCATCCTCCTTCTGTCTGAGGTGGGGGGAGGGCTCATACTCAGCCTCCTTGGCTCTTGGCGGATGCATGAGCTTCTCAGAGGAATTTCAGAAAAAAAAGGATGCTGTGGAATCAGATGAAAATGTGAAGTGGCTATCGAAAAGGGAAACATGTATGTAGTTTGCAAATTGTTAAATCGTTCCCACACTTCAGAGGAATGAATACATTAGAGGCTGAGAGTAAAACAATGGAGAACAATGTATATCATTTCTGGACTATAAAGGTCTGGGATCAGCTTGGTGGGAAAACCTTCATATTAAGTAAATGGGTTTTCCATCTGGTCTTTGGAAAGTGGATATATTACACAAATCCCAAGTGGAATATGAGCACGTCCTAATAACATGATGCCAGCTATGTCAGTGTGAGCTTTCCCTGGTTACTCACACCCTCTATAAATAGTGTGCAGGAGTTTTTAGGGACAGCAGCTGAAAAGACAAAGGAATTATCATTTATAATAACTCACTGGAGGTAGCGATTCAGCTCCTGTTGGCTGCATCGGGACCAGTGGAAACGGTGGAAGGCAGCTTGGACCAGGGGAGCCATGATGCTGCCCATCCTCACCTCATCACCACATCTGTTGCCCTGGCCATCATGCTCCATCCCTAAGCTGGAACAAAGGTAGGAAGAGGGGAGACCCAGAATGGGGACCAAGTAATTTTTATTTTTCACAAAGAGAAAATAAAATGCAGGACTAGAGATTAACACTTTTAGTGGATTGCTGCTTGAAAAAGGGAGACACATGAAACGATGGAAAGAGCGCTGGACTTGGGGTCAGAAGAGGGTGCAGCCTGGTTATGCTATTTACTCTCAATTAGACCTCTGGCAAGTCGCGGCCCCTCTCTGAAACTCAGTTTCTTCATCTGTAAAAAATGAGGGAACTAGATCACATAATCTCTAACAGCCTTTCCAATTCTATGATCCCATCCTCCTTTGGACGCCAGTTTTTTAAATTTATGGAATGAAGAAATTAGACTAGATGGTCTTTTGTCTCTATAATGGTTTGTGATTATCTGATTTCCAAGTATATATTACTTTACCACTTTGCTATTTCAATAGTGAAATTACAGAATTGCTACAGCAGTGAGTCCCTCAACTTTAATAAAAATCCAATAAACATTTATCAAGTTCCTATTATATGCAAGACGCTGTTTTGGGTATGAGGGTGAGAGGGGGAAGATGCACAGAAAAGTAGGACACAGTGCTATTGTGAAACTCTGTCTAACAAAGTTCTCTCAACTTCTACTGAATCTTGGTTCATCAGTGTTGATACTACAAATAATCTGGATTACTGGTTATAGTTTCCAGGACTGTGTGACCAATCAGTCTGAATTTATCAGAGACCTCACCATAGCCTGTGGTTCCGCTCCCCTCCGAGATATAGAGGCAATGCTGATGAGGTTTTTTTTTCCCCAGAAAAGGAAGGGAAAGAATGTTCTATACTCACTTGCTTGTCCCCTCCCTGACCTCCTAATGTAGAAGATGAATGCATATGTTCTTGGTACCATGAACATCCTCACAGTGTCCAAGAGTGCTTTCCTGAAGGGATTACTTCTTAGGTTTTGGTCCCCAACTACATTTTTCTCTAACCACATGCCTTGTGGAATTTTAGCCTCTGGAACTGATTTATTCATAAACTTTCCAGAGGAACCTCAGTGGCAAGTAGGTAAATAGATGTCATGAAGACTGTGTGTTTGACACCACGGCCTTAGACTATCCTCATTTCCCCAAATGATTCCCTAGATCTTCCCCCCACGCCCCAAATGGCTCTTTTGGTTCACGTTCTCCCAAACCAAAAAGGAAAAAGTATCTCTGATCTCTACTTACACGTGACCAGTCTCGTGGGCTACCACGAAGGCAGAGGAAAATCCATCTTCATGGTTCAGGGTACAGCTGCGGACGGGATGGCACATTCCAGTGACCGGGGCATAGCCTGGGAGGGAGGGCAAGGAGCAAAAGCCATTTCGGTTCCCAGGGGACCCAGGGCGGTGCCAAGCTCAATGAGGCTGAGCTCTCAGAGTGGATATGCCAAGTCTAAGTTTCTAGGCTTGGGACAGGACCTGCTGTCCAAGTGCTAATATCTTGGCGGGCCTACCTAGAGCTTTGGCTGCGCTGGGGGACCCTCATTATATGAGGACCTTGGCAAGAGACGTAGCTGTGGCCACAAGCTCTAGAAATGCACAGGAGCTAATCTACGTATATCTTTCCTGATTCTCTCCTGATCTTTATTATTAGGTGTATGCATGTGTTATAGGCTGGCATTGTGTTCAGCATGGGAGAGAAAAGCATCAATCTCATCTATAAAATAGACTTACATAATGGACATGAATCTTAGCTTTTTCAAGGAAAAGGGGTGCCCTCCTCACATATCACAGGTGACTTTACCCCTCTTGACACTAATATTTCCAGTACTTTCTCAAAATGTATATAATCTTAGGGTAGTTTTCATGTTCTGATCCAATCATTGAGGGAAAGAATGGAGAGTAGACAGACACAAATGGGATGGATAAGCACTTTTTCATGCCCTGAAAGAACTGAATGGGAGGCATACTACTCAGGAGTTGGCAGAGGGAAGAGATAAGTAAGGCTATATTACAGTGACTGAGGCAGGAGTTAAATTTTCAGTTAGGCAGACTAAGTAAAAAGGATCCCATAGCTGCCAGAGGAAATCTTTGGTGTGTGTATTGGACTGGGAGGAGGTATTTGGGAAGTAGGTTGAGAGAACAGTAAGTCTTCAAGGGGTGAGAGGTATTCAGAATCTGTCTAAAAGGTCTCCAAAGTTTCAAAAAGTCTAGGGACATGTTGGCTCTAGCTATTTCGTGAAAAGGAAGAGAAATATGACAGGAAGATAGAGCACCAATACCAGAATAAGAACAGGGACAGGAAGGCCCAAGGCTAGGCAGGGCCTTGACCACACGGACCTGTTATACTGGCCAGAAGTAGATAATAATGGCCATAGAGCGATGGAGAAGCTCATGACAGAGCAATGAGGTAGGAAAGAATGAGGAGACAAGTAGCCTGGAGCGGCAAACCCTGACCTTACTCCTCACTGGGGCTGTATCCAGGAAAGTACTGAAAGCCACACGGCCTGAGCAGGGCTTTGGGGAGGACTGGCCCATAAAAAGGAGGTGAGTTGGTGACTTACTAACAAACCTTTCCACCCAAACATGGGCCATCCCCACCTTCTCTTTACACCATGCAGACACCAATGGAGGACGTTGGTGATCTCCATCGCTTATCTCTCACTCTCATGACCAGCCCAGCCTCTTTTCTTCCCCCAAATTTCTTTGATGATATCCTCTGTACTCTGGCTCTTTTTCCGAATTCCTTATTTGTGACACATTGTCACCAAGTCATACCAAGTACCTCTCCTGTCTTGTGATTGATACTCATCTTCAATTTTTCAGAGACTGTCGCATTCCATAATTTGCTACCATACAATCTGGCAGAATATCAGTATCAAATAGCTGTGCTTTTATTTTAGTGAGAAGCTTTGGGTCATTAGAAGAACTGTGATTTCCCAAAGGCAATTCAGCCACTCTCCTCCAGCTCAATTCTAGGTCGAACCTATTTTCCATTTGAGCACCTGCCCAAAAATTATATCAGATGAATAAACTCTAGAGCTTATCTATATAACTGTCCATCATAGTCTGGAAGATAGGGATTCTTCACCCACTTGATTTTTCTCATATGGATGATTAGGCCACTAAACCTCATCTAGCAATCTCATCTTCTTGGACTTGATGCAATAAAGTCACCTGCAAACTGGAGTTTCTGGAGGGTCTTTTCAAGTACAGGGAATGACTGTATGAGTTGGAATCTGCCCCTGATCCATTCAGTGGCAAAAACCTTTGGCACACATGCACCTCCCTACAATTTTGATGATCAGAGGATTGTTGAACAAGATAATCTCTGTAATATCTTTCAAGGAATCATGTGTATATATATATATATATATCTTTTTGGTGAGGCAATCAGGGTTAAGTGACTTGCCCAGGGTCACACAGTTACTAAGTGTCAAGAGTCTGAGACTGGATTTGAACTCAGGTCCTCCCAACTCCAAGGCTAGAGTTCTATCCACCTAACTGCCCCTATAATTTTTAACATATGCATAGGAGGCATCTTGCTGGAACAGAACCTTTGGGATGGTGTTTTTCTCTGATGAGTGTAATGCTGTTTGTAAAGCCATCCCGTAATAAGCATGGTAGGAGCTTGCACACTCCACCTCTCTTTCAGTCAATTGTGTATTGGCAAAGATGTAGTCTACTGTGGAATGTTACTTTCAAAAGTCTGCAGAAATGTGAGTTATTGTTATTATTTCATAATTATTATAAACTCTCTTGGGCTCTACATCTTCTACAGATTATTTTTTTCCTACAGACATTTCCATGCACTGTCACAGTTCACACCTTTCTTATTTTTCACAGCTCAACAGGCACCATTGTACTAATATTCCAGTATTTGTTTGACAAGTCTTGTAGTGCAGGATCTGGAGTATTTTTAGGTTTTTTTTTTCCAGGATCAGACAGCACTGTTAGGAACATCATTGTAACATGACTTTATTCTTTTCCTTTCAAATTATTTCCTTAGGGCATTGACTCCTAGGGTAGGCTTCCATCCTTTTGTGATGTCCCCTGTAGAATGGAAGTGACTGGATTTTCAAATGCTCTGCCAGGAGAGAACAAACTCTTAAAGTCCATATTAGAAAGGCTTTGAGTATGACCTGGTAATGGACTATGTCTATAGACTGTGGCCTAGCCTAAGGCCCGAGAAGCTTATGGTCAGGAGTTTGGCCACGCGTTACACCTGCTATCGCTGTGAAGGGGACTGGGATCTGGAGTCCACCATGGTAGAGTCATGGGTCCTTAAAGTTCTGGGGTAAGCAGAGAATCCTCACAAGAGCCCACAAAGGAAGGCATTTAGTGGGGGTGAAACCATAGGCCTCCTGTGGGCAAACATTCACATGTAAGCTTTTTGTGCTTAATTTAAACTGCAAAGCATCATAACTCTGCTTTTCCCACAGGGACCAAAGTCGGGGCATTCATGAATTTCTTTGCGCATTCTACACCCCTGTTTAAAAAATGAGAAAAACACGACACGTGGAGAGGTACAGTGAACTGCCAGTGATCTGTGTGGTACAGTGGAGTGAGTCCCTAATTGGCAATCAGAAGACCTGGGTTTGAATTCCAGCTCTGACACTTACTGATTGTGTGCCTCGATGTCTTTATTTGTAAAATGGGGATAGTATTCCATATCTTACAATATTGTTGGATGGAAAAGTGCTTTGTAAAATGTAAAGCATTCTATAAATGTGTCAGTATTGCTACTGATAGTAAATAATAAAAGCAATCATGAAACAGACCTGCAGTTGGGGCCTCCAAGTCCTGTCCTCGTTTGGTCCACGGCAGTATTTGCTGGGGCGGGGGGCGGCCCACCGAGGCCAGCCAATTCAGGATAAATGGCTCTTACTCTACCCTGGGAAAAGGTCAGCTTGCCAGTAACAGACTTGATACCATCCTGAGCCCTACCTGGGGCAAACATGGCGGAAGGAGGTATAGGTGACTGAAGTCATATACATTCCATGGGATCTGCTGCCCCGAAAGACAAGGGGAGACCTTGGTTCTAGGATGTTCATGAGGGACCATGTTTCCTTCCGGCCCTTTAAGAGAAGGAGACTCAGTTCTGCAAATTTCATTTATCATCTGGCATGAAGGGAGAAGTCTCGACTTGGAAGACAGACAAAGCATTGCCATTTCTCCTTCATCTCTATAAAATCAGTCGGTTAATGTAAATACGTTAAAGAACGTGTTTGCTCGATGTTTACTATGGAATGAGGATCACTTTGCTTTTACTCTGCAAGTATCTTGCATATATCTATTTATGTATACATTTTCTCTCCCATTAGGATGTAATAAGTAAGCTCTTTGTTGGCAAGAAGTCTACATTCCAATGTTTCTTACTTTGTATCTCTGTTGCTTAGCACAGCGTCTGCCCTTCCTATAGTTGTTGTTCGGTTGTTTTTCAGTTGTATCTGACTCTCTGTGACCCCACCTGGCGTTTTCCTGGCAGAGATACTGGAGTGGTTTGCCACCTCCTTCTCCAGCTCATTTTACAGATGAGGAAACTGAGGCAAACAGGGTAAAGTGACTTGTCCAGGATCACACAACTTGTATGTGTCAGGCTGGATTTGAACTCAGGAAGATGAGTCTTCCTGATTCCACACTTGGTGCTCTATCCACTGTACCACCCAGGTGCTCCATATACTGTAATAACTTCGCTTAAAACGCCTGTTTATTGATTGGTAGGGATGAGTATGAGTGTGTTTGTGTGTATGCTCACCAGTACATAGGTATGTAGTGTGGCATATGGAAAAGAATACAGGATTTAGAATGAGAGGATTATAATAATAATAATAATAATAATGACAAACAACTAACATTTATATAATGCTTACTATGTGCTAGGCAGCTAAATGGCACAGTAGATAGGGTGCCAAGCCTAGAGTCAAGAAAACTCATCTTCTTGAGTTTAATTCCAGCCTCAGAGACTTACCAGCTGTGTGACCCTGGGCAAGTCACTTCACTTGTTTGCCTCAGTTTCCTCATCTGTAAAAATGAGCTAGACAAGGAAACAGCAATCCAGTTCAGTGTCTTTGCCAAGAAAACCCCAAATGGGGTCATGAAGAGTCAGATAAACTAAAAAAAGACTTAACTTCTATGTGCTAAGGGCTTTACAATTATTATCTCACTTGATCCTTACAACAACCCTGGGAGGTATATGCTATTATTATCCCCATTTTATAGATAAGGAAACTGAGGCAAACAGGGATGAAGTGACTTGTCCAGGTTCACACACCTAGTACATGACTGAGGTCCAATCTGAACTCAGATCTTCCTGACTCCAGGCCAAGCTTTCTATCCACTGTGCCATCTA